AGGGTGCTGAGTTGATTATACTACGGGGGAAAGGAGTTGTTAGCAATAGTCGAAGGTTTCAGGAGGAAGAGACACTTATTATTACAGGTAGAAACGAAGGTCTTGACGGATCATCTTAATCTGACATATTGGATGGCTCCCAAGCAATTGAATCCTAGACAAGGTAGGTGGGTAGAAGAACTGGCTAACTTCAGATTTACGATGATTTACCGTCCGGGGAAGCAAGCGACGCTGCCAGATGCTTTGTCAAGACGACCGGACTATCATCCCGGGATAAAAGGTATAACGACCGAACAAGAGGAGAACTTCGTCCAAGGACTACCGAAGTTCGACTCGAAAGATGTCACTGAATCAAGCCTGGGACACATGCTCCGGGCTTTACAAGGGACGAAAGAAGTTAGAGAGGAAGATCGGATCGAAGGAGAGGACATTATTAAAGGATACGAAGTGGATGAGGAAATAAACGAAGTTCGGGAGGGGATGTTAGCAATCATCTGCGATGAGTGTTCTCACCCCGAATGTATAGCTGACCGTCAGGAGCCAAGGCAAGTTGAAGAGTTTCGACGACGATCGCGACATGGGATGTTCGTAAATCCGTCGTGGTCGGTAAGAGGTTTTCTACGGTTTGACGGACGAGTATATGTTCCGAATATCGAAGAGATGCGAGTAAAAATTTTGAAATCCAGACATGATTCGGTATTGGCCGGTCATCCTGGAGTTACGAAGACATTAGAATTAGTGCTCAGAGATTACATCTGGAATGGAGTCAGGAAGGATGTCGAAGACTACGTTGGAGGTTGTGTGGTTTGTCAGAGAGCTAAAACGAACAGACAGAAACCTCAGGGAGCACTGAAGACATTGGAAGTAGCGGAGAAGCCCTGGTCTAGTATTTCAATGGACTTCGTTGAAGAACTTCCTGAGTCAGATGGTTTCAACTCGATTTTGGTTATTGTTGACCGGTTGACGAAGTGGGCGATGTTCCTACCAACGACGACGAACCTCACAGCAGGGGGGCTAGCTGATTTGGTCATCGAACATGTGGTGGCTCAACATGGACTACCAGAAGGTATAGTTTCAGATAGAGGAGCAAAGTTTACATCGAAGTTCTGGAAAGATCTCACTGCTAGTCTTGGTATAAGACTAAATCTCTCCACTGCGTATCATCCACAGACTGATGGGCAGACTGAACGAACAAATCAAGCTTTGGAAATGTATCTACGGGTATTCGCCTCTTATCAGCAGGACGATTGGGCGAAGTTATTGCCAAAGGCTAGCTTCGCGTATAATAACACGATTCACTCGGCCATCGGGATGAGCCCGTTCTTCGCGAATTTCGGGTACCACCCACGATGGACAGACGAGATTAAGGAATCTGAAGTAGAAGTTCCTGTTGCTCGAGCAGTTGTTACTGATCTACAGGAGGTACACAAACGATGTGTTGAGGGCATTAGACTAGCCAATGAGAGATACTCCGAAGCGTATGACCAAAGGCGCTCAGCAACACCAATTTTCGAAGTTGGAAGCAAAGTAATGTTATCCCTAGAGAATATTAGAACTAAGAGACCTAGTAAGAAGTTAGATGCTAAACAAGCAGGGCCGTACGAAGTTATTGAACGCATTGGTACTCATGCGTGTAGGTTGAAGTTGCCAGCCTCGATGGCCAAGTTGCATGATGTGTTTCATGTGTCGTTGTTAAGGAAGTTCCAACCAACGAACTTCGTGGGGCAGGAGGCAGAACTTCCTGATCCGGTCGAAGTTGATGACGCAGGAGAATCGTGGGAAGTCAAGAACATTTTAGACTCTAGGATAAATAGGAGATCTGGGAAGGTCGAGTATTTAGTAGAGTGGCTGGGATTTGAGGGAACTGATGATGCTGTCTCTTGGGAACCGAAGGAAAACGTTGATGGTGCAGATGAAATTCTTACCGAGTTCCACGAACGATATCCTGAGAAACCGAAGGAAAGTTTAGTTCGTCGAGCTCGTGCTCGACGAACTTAGGGACTGTGCAAGACTGATACATGGGACAAGAAGTTATACAATCGCTAAGTTTTATTTTTCTCTTCATCTACAAGAATGTCAATATCGTCCATTACCATTCTCCCTTTTCCTTTACCACGACTCCATCTTCTACTATCATCCCACCGTGAGTGGGCTCCCTCAGTATCAGTAAGCTCTTCACGGGCCACCACTAACAACGGATCATTTCTTATCACGTTTCTCATCCGCCAGTTAGCATCCCAGAACGTCTCACTAGCTGCACGAACTTCATCCCTCAGTCCTTGAGTGCTGGGTCCAGCAACCGCAACACCAGTCAGATCACGCTCCTTTCGCCCGATGGTATCATTGATCTCTCCCCAGAGTTTATGGCCGAAGATAGCGTGACGGCCAGTACGAAGGAGAGTTTCATTCCATTCGAGCAACAAACTATGAGTGGCAGATCCGATATGAGAACTCTTTTTCGATAAGTTCCGGGTTAAAAGACGAATTTGATTGAGGAAACGACGAATGATGACCCCTTGTACGTCCATCATGTCTGCCGCACGAAGAGCCACCATGGTCATTGCTGCTAACCGTTTCTCTGTTTTCAAATTGTCCATGGTGAGAACTTCGACTAGCTTTCTGAGGTCCGCGATAATTTCCTCTTGTGAAGGAGGAGGAACTTCCTCGGACGACGAGGACGACGACGACGATGGCGCGGGTGACGGACGAGGAGGCGAAGGAGGGGGAGGAACGATGAAGGCCCCAGGGACGACCGGCGACGGGGAACGAAGGTCGACGACGGGAGGGACGCAAGGAGGACGAGGACCACGAGGAGGTGGGGACGGAGATAACTCCCATAAGGGAGCACCAGGACGAGCAGCGCGGAAAGAGACCGAAGGAGGGAGAGGGGGAGGAAGACCGGGAAGTTCGTCCGACGGCGAAGGAGATGCTGTCACGAACACCGACCGACCAGCTGGCGGGGGCGACGGGTGAGCGACGGGCGACGGGCGGGAAGTTGTCGAGGGTTTCCTCTGCTTAGCAGGGGAAGGGGAGAGGAAGGAACAGACACCGGATGTACACGATGCACATCGTGTACCGCGGTTGGTCCCACAGGGACGGACACAGGGGAAGTCGGGGTGACGAGATTGTTCGTCACTGGAAGTTAGGATCTGTTACGTTCTGAGAAGTTTGATTTGCTCACCGGCAGCGATCGCATTCTTCGCCCTTGGGAGCCAGCTCCCACCTTCCAGGTTGGGCCGCGAGGAGGGCCAAGAGACTCGCCGAAGTTCTTACCGTTCCCGAACGAGGAACAGGCGAGGAAGAAGGGGCTTCAACCCGTACCCGTTTGCGAGCGGGGGTGGGCGAGGACAAAGCGGACGAAGAGGACGAGGACACCGATATTGGTGAAGAATGTTGTCGATGTCTCTTCTTAGGAGACCGAAGGATGGAAGGTTTTCTTGATGAACTCGCCTCTTTCGAGGGAGTCTTTCTCTTGGCCGGGGTCGAGGACGGACCGGCGACGGGAGCGGGAGGCGCGGAAGAAGAGGAAGGTGCCGACAGCGAAGGGAGAGCAGCCGACAAGGAAGAGAGACGGAGGCCAGCCGAACTGGCAAGGCGGCGGACGAAGGACGAAGGAGGAGCAGGAGGGGGAGACTGAACCCGGGACACTAACATCAGCCATGATACGAAACTCTTCGACGAAACTCTCAGGCTATTCAAACTCACTACTTCGAGTCCTTCGAGCGACGCTGGGAGGAGGAGATTTGACGAGTTTTCGGGGGGTAGACGGGGCCATGGTGTGTATGAAGAGATAAATTTGGTGGGAGGGTTGGTTGAGATGTAAGAAGAGGGTTAGAATTGAAGAAGTTAGGGGGGAGGTTCGTCAACTTACTGAGTATAAAGGGAAACTCGTTGCTGTTGACAACGGATAAGGGCGTTGCCGTCGTCAACGTCGTGTTTCATGGAGACCAGGATACCACGAAGATCCCTGGATACGACAGAAAATTTTCAGGCTAAGGAGTTTCGTACTTACACTCATGGATACTGCACTCACGAACAGGTTATTGGTTCCCATTTCCCATACATAAAATTCTTCTATCATTGTCATATCTTCTTGTCACATACGAATTTCCCCCGCGATTTTTCAATGACTACAAGTCAAATTACAAAGTTCGAGATATAGCGATCTTGTTGTGAGGACGGCGTCGTGGCCAAAGGAGGTCTCAGATTTTCCTGGAATTTCATTACGGGAATTACGTTGTCAGGAAGTTGGTTTGAGGAGAAGAGTGAGAACCGAACTTCATGCTGAGTTGTTTTCTTCCTTTTGGCGTTGATGTTCGCTCACGAGGACGTTCGCGCTCAAGGAGGGGGCGACTGTCACGCGGCGCCGCGTGACATTACCCTTCCCCATCAAACGAAGTTCCTTTGGACATCAGTTCGCCATCAACGACCCAGTTCGCATGAACTTCACCACCCACGAGGGTATTAGGAGGCTAACTTCGTCGAGGACGAAGTTAGTCATGTAGGAAGATAGGGGGATACGAAGTTAGGAAGATACGAAGTTAGGGAGATACGAAGTTAGGAGGATACGAAGTTAGGAAGGCACGAACTTCGTCGGGGACGAAGTTCGCGAGGTACGAAGCTCGGGACGTCGGGTTGAACGAAGTTCTGCGTTGACGAAGTTAGGGAAGGACGAAGTACTTAAGGGCCGAAGTTCCCAGAGATCTTTGACGATCTCTGGTTGTTGTCTTAGTGATAGAAGTTAGTTAAGCACAAAGTTATTACACCCAGAAGTTATTGTCACCTATTTCATATCTCGAGCAACGAAGTTGGTAAAGGTCGAAGCCCACGAAGTTATTGGCCGTCGGTCCTACGGAGTTAAGGAAGAAACAACCCTGTGACAGTGAACTGTGTCGTGACACCTCAATCATTCCACCAGCAATGACCGTCCTTTGACCATCAAGACCCCTATCACGTCTTAACCTCTTTACTCTACACATAACTCAGGACATCTGAGACCAACTACGGTGAACTACGACGGGAGAATAAGGTATACGGGGGCCTGGAGCATAAGGACAGCAAAGTAGGGTGAAGTTAGACGGAGTTAGGCTAAGCAGGGACAAAGGGAGCAGAAGTACGGCAAAGTTAGACAGAGTGAGGCTGAGTAGGGACAATGGGAGCAGAAGTGCGGCAATGTTAGGCAGAGTTAGTCGAAGGTGGAGGAGGATGCCGGGGACTCAGAAAAGTTGGACAAAGTGCGTTGAAGTACGTCGGGGCGCAAGAGGGTTGGGTGTAATGGTACTGGAAACACGATGACTAAGTCGCAGGTTGGGTCGAACTCGATGGAAGTCTTGTAGAAATCTATGGGTCTCTGGTGCTATGTGATAGATTGTGTTTCCTCTGCAATTGATGTAGCCAAAGAAGGATATTGAAGAATCAGCGAAGTTGGTACATTGCTGATTGTACTATATACTGTCTACAGGTATCCGTGTCCTCCTCTCAGTTCCTACTGCATGTCACGCCTGCGGGTAGACTGCGGTAGCAAAGGACTGCCTTGGGAACTGAGAGGTTTAGTCTCTGGCTCGTGGACCTTGGTGACTGCCTTGGATACTGAGGGTTCGAGAGGTTGGGTTAGAACCAACTGAGTGACTTATCAAACAAGAGGAAGGGGATTGAAAAGATACATTGCTGAAGAAGAAACTACAGTACTAGATAGGGTTTAAATACTAAAATCAGCCTTTTCCAAGAGGCTCGTGCAGACCTGCGGAATATGAGCGCTCTGAACTGTCCTGCACTGTCCTGCATGCATTGCCATGCATCCCACCGATTACCACTGATATCCTACGATGCCATATCTGCGTTTACCTACGTCTTACTATGATATCCTATGTGATGCACCATGAGTCGGTGACTTTGTTGAAGGTGGTCGATGAGGAACTATGAGGAACTATGCAGAACATAGAAGAGCTGCGAGAACAAGAGACTGGGAGATTATGCCTTACAAGGCATCAGAACAGAGGAAAGAGAAACTAGAGAAGTACTTGGAGCTTATGCCTGTCAGGCATGAGAGCACAGGAAAGATAGTCTTGGGGTTTATGCCTGATAGGCTTGAGAGCAGAGGAAGATATGAGAGTGGAGGTTTGAACTTGTGATTATGACAAGTCATTATTTGTTAGTGTCATTCATGACACTGCAAGCGTCTATGTACATACTCGGACAGGTGAAAAACCGCTTTTGAGCAAACCCAGTGGGGGAATCTCGAAAAGGGAAACCCGTCCCTATCTACTGCAGCACTGCCTCCAACTCCCGCTGTTCTCTTTCCTAATCCGTCGAATTCGATGGAGTTCTCTCGATTTGTTGTTACTCCGTAACAAGTTTTTCCCCCCTGTCTCAAGGATCCTCGCCGAGGATCCTGAATCCTGTAACTAGGTGATTCACATGGATTGCTCTGAGACACCTTTGGTGCGCCCTGACGTCACACCTACGCTAGTGTGACGGTTGCTATGAAACGTGTCACCCGCACAGACCTCCAATGTGATCGAGAAATTACTGACCAAGTCTCTTTCCCGTCTCTCTCTCTTCTTTCCTCCTCATTCCTTCTTTTCATCTTGTTCGTCCTTCTTCATTACTTATATATCATTGCCCATACATATCTTACTTATATCTTTGAGTATCATTCCAACTCTGATCTGTTTGTGTGTTATAATCCTATCATAACACCTTAGTATACTGTACATAGTCTTAGTAGATTCTTGTAGCCAAGGGGAGTGCCACCAAAGAACCGCTTCTAAGAAGCACTTCTAAGAACCCAAGATCGAACCACCTCTCAGAAGGGGTTCGGCGAGCTACTCTTAGAACCGGTTTGACGAGTTGCTCTTAGAATGGGTTCTGTAAGCGAACACCTAGAAGGGGGTTCGGAGAACCTCATAGAACTGGTTCACGACCCGCTTGAAGGTAGATTTGCCACCCACACAGGGGTTCTTTGGAAGAGGCCAAAAAGGATAAAAGGAGGCCTTCCGGCCACCTTTTCCCCCAAGGATCAAATTATCAAAAGTTACTTCACTTGACCTCAAACCAATAACTAGCTCACTTATTTCTTCAAGAAACTTGCACAACTTGCCGGATCCTTCCAAGTTGATTCACCACCTTCAACCAATTAACAAGTAGTGACTACTTCATTCCTTGTAGTCACACCCCTTGTAAACCTTCACTTTCCAATCGTCTTACGTCAGCAAGGTCAACGTAGGACGGTTCGTAACATTGTGAGCATGTCTAAGCATACTGTAAGCAATTCCTTTCAAATTCGATGTACTTCTTCCTATTTCTCACTGGCTGACAAGATTAGTTGTCTCCTTCTACCTCCTCTTGTCGAACTCGAGCCTCCACGGCGGCCCTTCTACCCTCTGCTGACCCGGACCAACTCATGTGTCTTACCAAAAAGATGAGAATCACTTCTCAAGCACCAGTCCCTTCTCAACCTCCATGTCATGAATAGTGATAAGGAAATCTGACTCATTGTCACGGCCGTCGAGCAACTTCTTCCTTCTAGACCGACGGTCGACGAACCTCGGCTAACTTCACGCTTCTGAGTCGATGTCTCACCCAACCAGGAGGGCGCAGACGTCGAAAGGAGTGTAACTACGGCGTACTTCGGCGTAGTTACTCTAACTAAGGCTTTGTTCTATTGATGGCGATGAATCTCGATGTATAGCTATCTCTATTTGTCTTTTACTACTGACAACAATCAAGGATCGCTGAAGAAGTTCAGCGATCTGTAAACTATCTATACTACTCCTCTCTTCTCATAGAACGTCCCTCAACTCCTGCACTGCCTCACGCTCAGTCCTCTTCGTTCAACTTTGCCGTACCTCGCCGTATCCCCGATATCCTACTCCGCTCACTTCGACTAACTTCGCCTAACTTCCCCTGTCCTGCTCTCCCTCAGTTCCCTTCCCCTAACTTCGCCGTAGTTCTCCGCTAGGCGGGGTTGTTGTGACTAATACCCTCCAGGATCTCATAACTTCGCCGTAGTTGGTCTGAGTGGTTCGGGTGGTGGTCGGTGATGGTGAAAGGAGGGTCGGTGATGGTGGTTGTCAGGGATGTTACGACGTAGTTCGTGACACTCATGCTCAGAATAGTGATAAGGGAATATGACTCATGCTAGGAACTGTGATAAGGATTGATGGAAAATATGAGTCCTGGTATTTAGCAGTTCAGCAGTGAGGCATTTAACGTGATTGGCTGAAGCCTGGAAGGTTCAGCAGTTTAGCAGTGAGGCATTTATGTGATTGGCTGGATTTAGTTTCCCGCGGTGCACTCACTTTGAGGCATTTATGTGATTGGCTAGAAAATCCCTCACACGCTTTTTATTTAGTACACCTACTTTAGTTTTGAAGGGTATAAAAGGAGCACATCTCCCCCCTCTTTCTTTAGCAATGTATCTTCATCTTGAAGTTGAACTTCATATTTGAAAGTCACCTAGTTGGTTCTAACCCAACACCTCAGTACCCTCAGTACCTAAGGCAGTCATCAAGCTCTACAAGCCAGAGACTAAAACCCTTCAGTACCCAAGGCAGTACTTTGCTACCGCAGTCTACCCGCAGGCTCGACACTCCATTGGTTGACGCTTCTCAGAGAGCTCTCAACACCATTAAGGATCGATATCAATCCGCTCCTTCTCGTGACCAACAATCGTCTTTCCTCGATGACCAGGTCATCAAGCAATATATCGACTTCGACGGGGGTGCTGGGCCATCTACCACCGGTGAGACTCCATCTCCTGCCAAGTCCGTCAAATCCGAGCACGGCACCATTGTTGAGAATCAAAATTCTCCTGGTAATAAGTCCCCTGTGCCCCCTTCTGACTATTCAGAAGGTCTTGTCGAGGTTCCCCACAAACTCGAAATCATTTTTCACACCCCTCGCAAGGTTCTGGTCAATGACGAACTTGTTAAGGCTCTGACCACTCAAAAAGACTCAGAAATCGGTGAGATTTCTATAGAATTCTGTGCGCTTCTGACTTGACAGCTACTCTCTGGGCCAAAATGACCTTTTCCTCTGTTTGTAAGGCTCTGAAGGATGAAGCCCTCAATCGTTTTCGCGAGACTGGCGGCATCAATCCCACTATTATGTGGTTTAGGAATGCCGTGAGTTGCCTCTCTTCCAAATTCTACCAACTTCTAACTGTTAGCTCAATCGTCTGGCACAAGGTTGGCATCTTTGCAACAAAAATGGTGCTGTTGTTTGCTTAGAGGGTGAACTTTGTTCCAATTGCCAGCGTCGCCTCGATGGCGGGGAAGATTTTTGCATTGGTTGTATTGGTCCTTGTGAGTCTCTCACTAAATCTTGTTTGAGATTGATGCAATTCAGTTGGTGGTGTTTGTGGCGAGTGCTCCGCCAAGGGAGCTCCAAAGTGTTTGGTGAAAACCAACAATCCCGAGTCCAAATTGTCACGCGGCGCCGCGTGACATTATCCTTTCCCATCAAACGAAGTTCCTTTGGACATCAGTTCGCCATCAACGACCCAGTTCGCATGAACTTCACCACCCACGAGGGTATTAGGAGGCTAACTTCGTCGAGGACGAAGTTAGTCATGTAGGAACTTAGGGGGATACGAAGTTAGGAAGATACGAAGTTAGGGAGATACGAAGTTAGGAGGATACGAAGTTAGGAAGGCACGAACTTCGTCGGGGACGAAGTTCGTGAGGTACGAAGCTCGGGACGTCGGGTTGAACGAAGTTCTGCGTTGACGAAGTTAGGGAAGGACGAAGTACTTAAGGGCCGAAGTTCCCAGAGATCTTTGACGATCTCTGGTTGTTGTCTTAGTGATAGAAGTTAGTAAAGTACGAAGTTATTACACCCAGAAGTTATTGTCACCTATTTCATATCTCGAACAACGAAGTTGGTAAAGGTCGAAGCCCACGAAGTTATTGGCCGTCGGTCGTAGGAAGTTAACGAAGAAGCAACCCTGTGACAGTACCAGAGATCGTCCTTACCGACTCTCCAGTAACTCGTGGGAAGATATATGTGGACTAGAGGAAAAGAACGAGAGAGAAGAACGGCTGAAGCAATGTCGAGGAACGAACAGGGGGATAATCAAGGTAACCTAGAACCTCGCGGTTCTAGGGATTCGTCTTTTCTCTCCCAACCACCTTCTGACGCATACTTGGGCGATCCATGGGTTGAGGGAGGTGATCAAGGGAGAAGATTAGAGGAAGAAGATGGGGGGTCGACTGGTGGAAGAAGTTCGTATACATCGCGACCTAGGGGAGGGAACTCACCGGAGAGATTTAAAGAAGATATTAGGGATGGGATGCTGGTGGAAATGATGAGAGCGCTGAGAGAATTGAAGGCGGCTGACAACCAGAAGAGTGAGGCTCTGACAGAGATAGTACAAGAACTTCGTCGAGGACAGCGGGGAACTAGAGAAGGGTCGGCGACAACTTCGTCAACTCGAGCGCCGAAACCGAAAGATCCGGACGAATTCGATGGGTCAAGGGAGAAGCTCACTGGGTTCTTGACTCAGTGTTCGTTGGCGTTGAGTGTGATGAAGGATAGGTTTGAGAGTGAGGAGCAGAGTGTGTTGTGGATGGTAGGGTTCTTACGAGGGGTTGCACTGCTGGCGGTGCAGCCTCATCTACTTTCTACTCCTCTTCCCCCTTTCCTCTCAAAACGTTCTGAGTTTGCTGTGTGGATGAAGAAGAACTTCGGTGACCCAGATGAGAGGGGTACGGCTATTCGGGGGTTGAGGGAATTGAAGCAGAAGCAAGGGAAAGCATCAGCGTACTTCGCTGAATTCCAAAAGTATATTGCTATATTGGGGTGGACTGAGGAGGAGATGTTAGTGGCTCAGGCTATTAACGGATTGGACGAAGTTATGAAGGACGAGCTTTCCCGGAGAGAGGAGATTGGGACTATGGAAGAACTGAAGGCAGTGGTGATCAGATTGGACAATAGAATGACTGAGCGTTGGGTGGAGAGACAGGCTAATGGGCAGAAAACAAGCTGGGGAAGAACGCCTAACTTCGTGCAATCAACGGCGAAGTTAACGACGACACCCGCGAAGAATCCTGTGGGCTCGGTGTTGCCTCCTCCCCCAGTTCGGAGTAACTTAGTGACAGGATCACAGGGTTGGAAGCAAGGGGATCCTCTTACCCCTAGGCCTAGTTTCGACCAGAGGGAAAAGTGGAGGGCCGAACGAGCGTGTTTGGAGTGTGGTGGCCAAGGACACTATGTGAAGGACTGTCCCTTGGTAGCGGCTAAGGTAGCTCAAGGAAAGATGAATCCTCCGGAGATGTGGAAGAGTTCAAGGAATAGGGGAACAGGAGGGAATGCAGTAGCTGTGGGGGAGTCGAGGCAGATGAATGCGGTAGCAGGGGAGGATGTGGATGAGGGAAAAGGCCTGGACCCGTCGGTTTGAGAGAACGTCGGCGGGTCCATTTCTCTGTCCTCTCTGCTATTGTTCCTTCTGATATTAAGAGGAAAGAGCTGACAGTAGCAGAACCATGTGTATACGAAGATGGACATTTCATCACGATACCCATCACTAATGCGAGACAACCAAAAACAAAAATCAACGTAAAAGGGGCCCAGGTGGTCGCCTTATGGGATTCAGGAGCGACCAGTTCATATATAAACCCAAAAACAGTGGAGGAGTTAGGATTGGAAGTTATAAGATACCCAGAGGAAGTACCTGTACGTATGTTCGATGGTTCAGAAAGTATTGGTGGCCCCATCACGAAGTTCGTTGAAACGGGGATTCGTGTGTCAGTTGAGGACGAAGTTCGTATGATTCGGTTGGACGTCACGAAGTTGTGCGATGCAGATGTGGTGATAGGATGGGAATGGATGAAGAAGGAAGGAGTGGTCCTGGATGTTAGGGAGGAGGTAATAAAGATCCCGGGTAGACAGAAAAGAGAAGGGGAGAAGTTAGGAGCGGTTTTTGGGTTCAAGGAAGGGGAGGTTTTAGGGCCTAGAGACTCGGCGTTGGAAGACGAACTTAGTGAGGAAGAACAAGAAGAACTGCTGGAAGTGGTACCTTCTGAGTACCATGGTTTCTTGGATATCTTTAATCCTAAGGTAGGAGGAGAGACATTACCTCCAAACCGAAGTTACGATTTGAGACTGGACCTAGTGGAGGGGGCGAAGTTAAAGGTGGCCCCGCTGTACTCGTTAGCTGAAGATCAGAGAAAGGCGTTAAGGGAGATTCTGGAGAAGGAGGTAGCGGCTGGTAGAATTCGAAAGAGTAACTCGCCTTATGGGTCACCTATGTTCATGGTTCCCAAAAGGGTAAAAGGACAGTGGCGGATGGTGACGGATTATAGGAAGTTAAACGAAGTTACCATTCCAGACGTTTATCCCCTTCCATTGATCAGTCAGATTACTGAAGAATTAGGTACAGCAAACTATTTTACGAAACTCGACTTGATGGGGGCATACCAATTGTTACGAATTGCTGAAGGATACGAGTATCTGACAGCATTTCGTACACAATACGGAATGTACGAGTCGTTAGTGGTTAGGGATGGTCTACGAAATGCGCCTGCTGTGTTCCAGCACTTCTTGAACGACATCTTTAGGGATTTACTAGGGGAGGGGGTCATAGTGTACATCGACGACATTCTGATTTATGCTAAGACTAAGGAGGAACTTAGGAGGTGTACGGTAAAGGTATTTCAAAGACTTAGAGAAGCTAAATTGTTTGTGAAGGCGGCGAAGTGTGAGTTTGAACGAACTTCGGTGGTGTTTCTCGGGTACGTAATTTCAAAATCAGGCATTTCGGCAAACCCAGAATACGTTGCTGCTGTACAGGATTTTCCTCGACCTAAGAACTTACGAGAATCCCGAGGGTTCATGGGAATGGTCAGCTACTACCGAAGATTCGTCCCGAACTTCTCGAAACTTGCGAAGCCTCTGAACGATCTTACTCGCAAGGATGTAAGCTTCACATGGGGAACTGAGCAAGAGGAGGCGTTCAGAGTGCTGAAGAAGAAGTTATGTGAAGCTCCAGTGCTAGCTCACTTCGACACCTCCTTGAAAACGATTATGCAGGCAGATGCCTCGTTCTTTGGATGGGGATATATTATCTCACAGGTTGATAAAGAAGGTAGGGAACACCCTGTGGCTATAGAATCGGGAGCTTTTAAGGGTGCTGAGTTGAATTATACTACGGGGGAAAAGGAGTTGTTAGCAATAGTCGAAGGTTTCAGGAGGAAGAGACACTTATTACTACAGGTAGAAACGAAGGTCTTGACAGATCATCTTAATCTGACATATTGGATGGCCCCGAAACAATTGAATCCTAGACAAGGTAGGTGGGTAGAAGAACTGGCTAACTTCAGATTTACGATGATTTACCGTCCCGGGAAGCAAGCGACGCTGCCAGATGCCTTGTCAAGACGACCGGACTATCATCCCGGGATAAAAGGAATAACGACGGAACAAGAGGAGAACTTCGTCCAAGGGCTGCCGAAGTTCGACTCGGAAGATGTTACTGAATCAAGCCTGGGACACATGCTCCGGGCTTTGCAGGGGAGAAAAGAAGTTAGGGAGGAAGATCGGATCGAAGGCGAGGACATTGTTAAAGGATACGAAGTTGATGAAGAAATAAACGAAGTTCGGGAGGGGATGTTAGCAGTCATCTGCGTTGAGTGTTCTCACCCCGAATGTAGAGCTGAACGTCAGGAGCCATGGCAAGTTGAAGAATTTCGACGACGATCACGACATGGAATGTTCGTGAATCCGTCGTGGTCGGTAAGGGGTTTCCTACGGTTTGACGGACGATTATATGTTCCGAATATCGAAGAGATGCGAGTGAAGATTTTGAAATCTAGACATGACTCGGTATTGGCCGGTCATCCTGGAGTTACGAAGACGTTAGAATTAGTGCTTAGAGATTACATTTGGAATGGAGTTAGGAAGGATGTTGAAGACTACGTTGGAGGTTGTGTGGTTTGTCAGAGAGCTAAAACAAACAGACAGAAACCTCAAGGAACGCTGAAGACACTGGAAGTAGCGGAGAAGCCCTGGTCTAGTATTTCGATGGACTTCGTTGAAGAACTTCCTGAGTCAGATGGTTTCAACTCGATTTTGGTTATAGTTGACCGGTTGACGAAGTGGGCGATGTTCCTACCAACGACGACGAATCTCACAGCTGGGGGGTTAGCTGATTTGGTAATTGAACATGTGGTGGCTCAGCATGGACTACCAGAAGGGATAGTTTCGGATAGAGGAGCGAAGTTTACATCGAAGTTCTGGAAAGATCTCACTGCTAGTCTTGGTATAAGACTAAATCTCTCCACTGCGTATCATCCACAGACTGATGGCCAGACTGAACGAACAAATCAAGCTTTGGAAATGTATCTACGAGTATTCGCCTCTTACCAGCAGGATGATTGGGCGAAGTTATTGCCAAAGGCTAGCTTTGCGTATAATAACACGATTCACTCGGCTATTGGGATGAGCCCGTTCTTCGCGAACTTCGGGTACCACCCACGATGGACAGACGAGATTAAGGAATCTGAAGTAGAAGTTCCTGTTGCTCGAGCAGTTGTTACTGACCTACAGGAGATACACAAGCGATGTGTTGAAGGCATTAAACTAGCCAATCAGAGATACTCCGAAGCGTATGACCGAAAGCGCTCAGCAACACCGCTTTTTGAAATTGGAAGCAAAGTAATGTTATCTCTTGAGAATATTAGAACTAAGAGACCCAGTAAGAAGTTGGATGCTAAACAAGCAGGCCCGTACGAAGTTATTGAACGCATTGGGACTCATGCGTGCAGGTTGAAGTTACCAGCCTCAATGGCCAGGCTTCATAATGTGTTTCATGTGTCGTTGTTAAGGAAGTTCCAACCAACGAACTTCGTGGGGCAGGAGGCAGAACTTCCTGATCCAGTCGAAGTTGATGACTCAGGAGAGTTGTGGGAAGTCAAGAATGTTCTAGATTCTAGGATAAATAGGAGATCTGGAAAGGTTGAGTACTTAGTAGAGTGGTTGGGATTTGAGGGAACTGATGATGCTGTCTCTTGGGAACCGAAGGAAAATGTTGATGGTGCAGATGAAATTCTCACAGAGTTCCACGAACGATATCCTGAGAAACCGAAGGAAAATTTAGTTCGTCGAGCTCGTGCTCGACGAACTTAGGGACTGTGCAAGACTGATACATGGGACAAGAAGTTTTACAATCGCTAAGTTTTATTTCTCTCTTCATCTACAAGAATGTCAATATCGTCTATCACCATTCTCCCTTTTCCTTTCTCACGACTCCATCTTCTACTATCATCCCACCATGAGTGGGCTCCCTCAGTATCAGTAAGCTCTTCACGGGCTACCACTAACAACGGATCGTTTCTTATCACGTTTCTCATCCGCCAGTTAGCATCCCAGAACGTCTCACTAGCCGCACGAACCTCGTCCCTCAGTCCTTGAGTGCTGGGCCCAGCAACCGCGACACCAGTCAGATCACGCTCCTTTCGCCCGATGGTATCATTGATCTCTCCCCAGAACTTATGGCCGAAGATAGCGTGGCGACCAGTACGAAGGAGATGTTCGTTCCATTCGAGCAGCAAACTATGAGTAGCAGATCCAATATGAGAACTTTTCTTTGATAAGTTCCGGGTTAAAAGACGAATTTGATTAAGGAAACGACGAATGATGACCCCTTGTACGTCCATCATGTCTGCTGCACGAAGAGCTACCATGGTCATAGCTGCTAACCGTTTCTCCGTCTTCAAATTGTCCAGGGTGAGAACCTCGACTAGCTTCTTGAGGTCCGCGATAATTTCCTCCTGGGTAGGAGGAGGGGCCGACGACGAAGAGGACGAAGACGACGAAGATGGCGCGGGTGACGGACGAGGAGGGGAGGGAGGAGCAGGAACAACGAAGGCCCCAGGAACGATCGGCGACGGGGAGCGAAGGTCGACGACGGGAGGAGCACGAGGAGGACGAGGACCACGAGGAGGGGGGGAAGGAGACAGCTCCCACAGGGGAGCACCAGGACCAGCGGCACGGAAGGAGACCGAAGGAGGAAGAGGAGGAGGAAGACCGGGAAGTTCGTCCGATGACAAAGGAGATTCGGTCGCGAACACCGAACGACGAGCAGCGGGGGGCGACGAGCGAGCGACGGGCGAAGAGCGAGAAGTTGTCGAGACTTTCCTCTGTTTAGCAGGGGAAGGGGGGAGGAAGGAACAGACACCTGATGTACACGATGCACATCGTGTACCGCGGTTGGTCCCACAAGGACGAACACAGGGGAAGTCGGGGTGACGAGATTGCTCGTCACTGGAAGTTAGGATCTGTTACGTTCTGGGAAGTTTGATTCACTCACCGGCAGCGATCACATTCTTCGCCCTTGGGAGCAAGCTCCCACCTTCCAGGTTGGGCCGCGAGGAGGGCCAAGAGACTCGCCGAAGTTCTTACCGTTCCCGGACGAGGAACAGGCGAGGAAGAGGGGGCTTCAACCCGTACCCGTTTGCGAGCGGGGGTGGGCGAGGACAAAGCGGACGAAGAGGAAGAGGACACCGATATTGGTGAAGAAGTTCGTCGATGTCTCTTCTTAGGAGACCGAAGGATGGAAGATTTTCTTCTTAAACTCGCCTCTTTCGAGGGAGCTTTTCTCTTGGCCGGAGTCGAGGATGGACCGGCGACGGGAGCGGGAGGCGCGGAAGACGAGGAAGACGCCGACAGAGAAGGGAGAGCGGCCGACAAGGAAGAGAGGCGAAGGCCAGCCGAGCTGGCAAGGCGGCGGACGAAGGACGAAGGAGGAGCAGGAGGGGGAGACTGGACCCGGGACACTAACATCAGCCATGACACGAAACTTCTCCACGAAATTCTTAGGCAATTAGAACTTACTGCTTCGAGTCCTTCGGGCAACGTTCGAAGGAGGAGATTTGACGAGTTTTCGAGGGGTAGACGGGGCCATGGTGGGTATGAAGAGATGAATTTAGTGAGAGAGTTGGTTGAGATGTAAGAAGAGAGTTAGAATTGAAGAAGTTAGGGGGGGAAGTTCGTCGACTTACAAAGTATAAGGGGAAATTCGTTGCTGTTGACAACAGATAAGGGCGTTCCCGTCGTCAACGTTGTGTTTCATGGAGTCCAGGATACCACGAAGATCCCTGGATACGAGAGAAAATTTTTAGGCTAAGGGGTTTCCTACTTGCACTCATGGATACTGCACTCACGAACAGATTATTGCTTCCCATTCCCCATACATAAAATTCCTCTATCATTGTCATATCTTCTTGTCACATACGAATTTCCCCCACGATTTTCCAATGTCTAGGAGGCAAGTTACGAAGTTCGGTAGATGGCGATCTTGTTGTGAGGAAGGCGGCGTAGCCAAAGGAGGTTTCAGATTTTCCTGGAATTTCATTACGGGAATTACATTGTCAGGAAGTTGGTTTGAGGAGAAGGGTGAGAACCGAACTTCATGCTGAGTTGTTTTGTTCTTTTCGGCGTTGATGTTCGCTCACGAGGACGTTCGCGCTCAAGGAGGGGGCGACTGTCACGCGGCGCCGCGTGACATTATCCTTTCCCATCAAACGAAGTTCCTTTGGACATCAGTTCGCCATCAACGACCCAGTTCGCATGAACTTCACCACCCACGAGGGTATTAGGAGGCTAACTTCGTCGAGGACGAAGTTAGTCATGTAGGAACTTAGGGGGATACGAAGTTAGGAAGATACGAAGTTAGGGAGATACGAAGTTAGGAGGATACGAAGTTAGGAAGGCACGAACTTCGTCGGGGACGAAGTTCGTGAGGTACGAAGCTCGGGACGTCGGGTTGAACGAAGTTCTGCGTTGACGAAGTTAGGGAAGGACGAAGTACTTAAGGGCCGAAGTTCCCAGAGATCTTTGACGATCTCTGGTTGTTGTCTTAGTGATAGAAGTTAGTAAAGTACGAAGTTATTACACCCAGAAGTTATTGTCACCTATTTCATATCTCGAACAACGAAGTTGGTAAAGGTCGAAGCCCACGAAGTTATTGGCCGTCGGTCGTAGGAAGTTAACGAAGAAGCAACCCTGTGACACAAATTTCGCAAGGTATCTATCTTCTTCCTTCAAACTTGATCAATGTTGATGTATAGGGTATTACTGTCGGAGCCAAGACTGTCACTTCCAAGGTTACCTTCGTCCTGGAGCACAAACTTTGTGCTGTCTTGGCTCGTTATTGATCCCTTTCCTCCCAGGATCAAACTGTCTTGTCACTTCGTGACATTATGCCTTCCCTTTCAGCCCCATCTGGGGCCCCAACAGGGATGGGCATGATAGGCCGAAAACTTTCTCTGAGAGGGAGGTTTTCCAAGTAGGGACTGAGCACAACCCAGCCCACCCTGGGAGTCGAACCCAGGATCCTAACCGTAACCGCCGGTTAATCTGTCACGAGACCAACTAACCAGCATTGGGACGATATAACAGTGCCCTTCAGAGACAGTGGTCTAAACCTGATTCGGGAGGAGGCTGCTGTGCACAAGGCATCAAGCCCAGCGCTAAAACAAGCCTACTATAAGAACTATAGTATGAATGGCTTGCACAGACTCATGTGCAAGGGGAACCGGAGTGCCTGGAGAAAACCCCTTGTTGGGCATCGGAATCGAACCCATGACCACATTACACTGATAGTTCCCATTCCACCATCAATGACTAGCCAGTTTAACCACTTAGCCGAGGTGGAAACACTGCACCAAAAGGCCTATTAACCGGCAGTGACTGCATACCACCGGTCGTTCTTATATACCCAACCCATCCTATCACTATCACTATCAAACTGTCTTGTCACTTCGTGACACAATCGTCTTCTCTTACCCAACTCTCCGCTTACATTCATCTTTTCTCCTCCCTTCTCCTTCCTCTACCCCCAGTACATCTGGGTCTTTATAAATCTCTCCATCTCATTCCTTCCGATTATGTTCCTCCTTCTCCCTCTGAAACCTTGGATCAACTCACCGGCTCTGGTGATCCAACTGGATTGTCTTCCTCCCAACCAGTCGCCGGTCCCTCCTCTTCTCCTCATACTCCTCTTCCCCGCAACGTCATTCGTATTCCTGCTTTGGCCCGTTGTTCTCGAGCCGATTCTAACGCTTCCATGGATTAGTGTGTTTATATTCCTCCAATTGTAGCTATATTTCCTGCGTATGCATTTATTCCCGACCCAGTTTTGTTGATTTTGATCAAATTCTCACTTTCTTCTGGGGTTGTTTTTCCTCTTTTCCAGGAATTCACCAAAAATGGCCAGCTCCTCTACATTTCCTCGTGGTTCCCAGTCATAGGCCGCATTTCCCGTGTATCCCAACCATTTTACCTTGAATTCTTCCTTCCCTCACCGAATTCTGCTGTCCACAATCGCTTCCACATGGAATTCCTCCTGGCCGTTAATTACTACAGGTGGTGGGGGTTGTATCTGTCGACCTGGTATCATGTCCTTAGGGTATGGTTCCAACAGCATGACATTGAAGACATTGTGCACTTTCATCGATGGAGGTAGATCCAATTCGAACGCATTCTTTCCAACCCTCCTTTTGATTTCAAAAGGGCCAACATATTTTGCTTCCAACTTTCAACTAGGTCGTTCCGTAGTGAGGTATTTTGTACTCAGTAGTACCTGTTCTCCCTCCCTGAATTCTTCTGGAATGCTCTTGTGCCTCCGGTTGTAATATTCCCCACTAATTTTGTTAGCCATTCTGACCTGTTCTAGAACAGCTGCATGTAACTCTCCCATATCTTTCCATTTTCTCTCTAGCTTGTTTGATTTCGATCAAATGTCATGTGAATGGATGTCGTAGTGTGGGACATAGCCGTAACATACTTTGAATGGACACAACCCATGACTACTATGTGGAGAGCAGTTATAAGCAAACTCGGCAATTGGTAGAAGTTGATCCCAATGGTCCATGTTGTAGTTCACATACATCCCAAGGAGGATCTCCATCTGTTGATTCACTTGTTCAGTCTGTCCGTCTGTTTGAGGATGATATGCAGTTGAATATAGGTTTTTTATTCCCAGAAATTGACATATTTCCTTCCAAATTTCAGCTGTAAATTGAGTTCCCCTGTCTGATACAATTGTTCGAGGTACTCTGTGCTTTGAGAAGATCTCCTTGATGTATATGTCGGCCACCAGAGAAGGTCTTAATTACGTCTTTTCGAACATTTTGGTACTAGATTACGCCTTTTCCGAGTTGATGGTCTTAAATACGTCTTTTGGCTGGCAGAGGGGTCCTTTTTACACTCCCCCCAGTTAGGGTGGACTTTGGGCACCAAGTTAAGGGGGGTATTGTCCATGCAGCACAACGTTAGGGGGTTAGAGGGTCAGGTGGTTAGGGGAGGAAGAGAGTGTTTTTAATGCATGCTTTGCATGCATTAATGGTCCAGGAAGGTGGGTGTAATTAAGTACTTTTCTGCGCAATGGGCGTAATTTAGTACCAAAACGTTCAAAAAGACATAATTAAGACCTTCTCTGTGTCGGCCACCTTGTTTGCTGTTAGTCCGGTTGTACATGGAATAAATCAAGCCATCTTGGTTAGCCGATCAACTATCACTAGAATCACGTCAAACTCGGTCAATTTTGGGAAAGGTCCTACCATGTCCATAGAGATATCTGTCCACGGGAGTGTGGGTACTGGCAGGGAGACTAGATGTCCTTTTGGCTGATGTCGATGAGTCTTATGTCGATTACAGATCTCACATCCTTTTACATATTTTGTGATATAATTGTCCAAATGGGGCCAGTAATAGTCCTCTTTGACCATGCTGCAAGTTTTGTCTCTTCCTGGGTGTCCTACTAATATCAAATCATGTCTTGCTTTCATTACTTCTAGTCTTGCTTGTCCCTCTGGTACAACTACTCTGTTCTTGTACAAGAGTAATCCGCTTTGAGTCCATGCCACTACAGGTGTCTCGTTGCTAATCTGTGTCTTCTGTGTGTCCTGTGTGCTCTGTGTGCTATGTGTCTGTGTCATTTGCAGTCCTAGTTGTCGTATGTCTGCTATGTTTTCTGAGTCTTTCAGTCTGTTTTTGATGAGTCCAAATAGGGAGTCTTCTTGGATTGCTCCTCTTACTATGTGTCTGGGTCCTGATTTGTCACGCCTGTCGAACAACGATCTTATAGCAGACCGACGGTCGACGGACCTCGGCTAACTTGACACTTCTAAGTTGATGTCTCACCCAACCAGGAGGGCGCAGACGTCGAAAGGAGAGTAACTACGGCGTACTTCGGCGTAGTTACTCTAACTGGGGTTTTGTTCTACTGATGGCGATGTATCTTGATTGTATATAGCTATCTCTATCTGTCTTTCACTACTGACAACAAACAAGGATTGCTGAAGATCTTCAGCGATCTTCTCAGTTAATATTATCTACTCCTCCTAGACGTTCATCCAACCCTCTCGCGCTTTGACGTACTTCAACGCACTTTGTCCAACTTCCCCGAGCCCCCGGCCATCCTCTTCCTCCCTCGACTAACTCCGCCTAACATCGTCGTACTTCTGCTCCCTTTGTCCCTACCTAGCCTAACTCCGTCTAACTTCACCGTACTTCTGCTCCCTTTGTCCCTACCTAGCCTAACTCCGTCTAACTCCGCCGTACTTCTGCTCCCATTGTCCCTGCCTAGCCTAACTACGTCTAACTTTGCCGTACTTGGTTTCAGATGTCCTGAGTTACGTGTAGAGTAAAGAGGTTAGGGCGTGATGGGGGTTTTGATGATCAAAGGAGGGTCATTGTTGGTGGAATAATCGAGGTGTCACAACGTAGTTCATGACAGTCACCCCCTTCTTTAGCCGTGAACGTCCTCGTGAGCGATTACATCTGTACTGTGGCAAGAAAACTTAGCAGCGTAGTCCCTCCATTCTCTCAGTCCCCAAATTCATCCTTCGCCCTTCTGCTTCCTGCGCCGCACTTCGTAGTTGAGCCTCCTTTTGTCACGCCTGCGGGTAGACTGCGGTTGCAAAGTACTGCCTTGGGTACTGAAGGGTTTTAGTCTCTGGCTTGTAGAGCTTGATGACTGCCTTAGGTACTGAGGGTACTGATGTGTTGGGTTAGAACCAACTAGGTGACTTTCAAAGATGAAGTTCAACTTCAAGATGAAGATACATTGCTGAAGAAAGAGGGGGGAGATGTGCTCCTTTTATACTCTTCAAAACTAAAGTAGGTGTACTAAATAAAAAGCGTGTGAGGGATTTTCTAGCCAATCACGTAAATGCCTCAAAGTGAGTGCACCGCGGGAAACTAAATCCAGCCAATCACATAAATGCCTCACTGCTAAACTGCTGAACCTTCCAGGCTTCAGCCAATCGCGTAAATGCCTCACTGCTGAACTGCTAAATACCAGGACTCATATTTTCCATCAATCCTTATCACAGTTCCTAGCATGAGTCATATTCCCTTATCACTATTCTGAGCATGAGTCAGAATTCCTTATCACTATTCATGACACCTTTCACTTTGAAACCCGACCATGAGACTCCCCTAGCTTCCTCGAGTTCCGCTGTAAGAGGCCCTGTGTCTTTTGTAGGTGAGACACGCTTCCCAGGTGGTAGCCGAACAACACCGTTGTTTGTCAAAGTAACCCTCGTTTATATTGAGATGAGACACTATAGTGTGGGGTTTTTGATCGTCCCTGTGTTGCCTTTTGTTGATGAAACGCGAAGATTGCTGCATGTTGACGACGAGGGGGTAGGTCTGATTATACTAAATACTGATCAGTTCGTCGAGCTTCTCTTTTTCCCCATCTGTTTGCAAAACCTTCCATCTCTCTTACCTAGAAAACAAATTTGTTACTCTGACCAGTCGTCTCGAGTTTTATTTCTTTTTAAGTATCTCAACGTCATGGCTCTCCCTACTCCCATTCCCAGCCCCTTTGCCGTCATGAGGAATTTTGGTGGTATGGTGTCATCTGCTCGTGAGTTTTTGCCGATACTGTCATGAATCAATAATCATGACTCAGAATAAGTATGGACTCAAAGTATTAGTGACTCATAATTCATTAGGAATAATAAGATCAGGCCAAATGGTAAGAACAAAAGGTAAGGACAAATGGTAATAACAAACGGTCATGACAAATGGGCATACCAGATGGTAGCACCAGATGGGCATGACAAATGGGCCACGCAATTGGCAGCCTAAGAGCAAGAATGTCCAGACTGGTCAACCCGTTTGTAACTAGCTTTTGTCTATATAAACTCGTACTTTTCAGTAACTTCTCCAGCAATGAATCTCCTCTTACTTCTCGTCTTCCTATCCTCGATCCTCCCCTTCCAGTAAGAGACGTCACTCAACTGGTTCTAACCCAGTACTCTCTGTCCCCTCAGTATCTAAGGCAGTCATCTAGCTCGACGAGTCAGAGACTATACCCCTCAGTACCTAAGGCAGTCCCTACGCTATCGCAGTCTACCCCCAGGCGTGACAGATACTCACCTCACCTCGCCGAACTTGACTGATGTTCAGTTTCCTTCAGTGATAAATCTCGCCAAGTCTCCTCTCTTGGCCTCGGCACTCTTTCTCTGGGGGAACCGTCTGGCGCAGCCTCGCCTCCTTGCTCTGCTTCTCCTCCCGCCGGTTCTCCCTCCTCCGCGTCTGGTTCTCCCTCCCCCGCGCCTGGTCCTCCCAGAGGGAGCCCCCCTGCCTCCACCCCTTGCCGTAGGACGCCTGCCTCCACCCCTTGCCGTAGGACGCCTGCCTTTCGTCCTGGTGAGTCTCCGTCCTCCTCCGACCAGGAGTCACTCAGTGGTTCGGAGTCGGACGATCAGTCAGACCCCAAAGGAAGTGAGGGTGATGATGATGATGATGATAAAAATCAGGAGCGTGGGAATGATTGTGAGGATGAAAGTGAGTTAGGGGAATACTCGGATGACGATGTGAGGGCTGTTAGTGTAGAGGACAATGATGTAGATAGTTCGGAGAGTGAGTCCTTCGTCCATCGTCTCACACCTTCGCTGAACTTGGCTTTGTTTATCTGTTCTTTAGCTTCCCAAGACATTGCTGACCCGTAGCCGTTCCCGTTCCTCCCCCCGCCCAGATCGTGGGCCAGAAACGACCTCGTTCTCTCTCCTCCTCTTCCTCTTCTTCTTCTTCTTCTTCTTCTTCTTCTTCTTCTTCTTCTTCTTCTTCTTCTTCTTCTTCCGGGGTTTTCCCCCCCGCCGCCGCCGCTGCTGCTGTTGCCCGCCGCCCTGCTGCCGCCGCTCCTCCTGCTCCCCTCCCTTCTCCCCGAGGGGAGCCTTCGCCCAAACGGGTGAAGAGGTCATTGCGGGAGGAAGAGTACTTGTGGGAGAAGATGGAGTCTGAGCCTGGACGTTGGGTCGCGGTTGGTGTTGATGAAGCGTGCGATCGTTGCCGGTGAGTCCACCTATTCATACTACGCCAAAGTTCTCCTTGCTGAGTAGTAGACGTGAGATTATCACGGATAATCGCCCAAACTGGCCCTGCCTCAAGGCAGTCAGGCCACACAACAAGGCTCTCCGTTGTGCTTCATGCACATCTGGTCCCTGCCCCTTCTGTCCCGTCTCCGCTGCTCGGGACATCCTGCCCCGTCCCTCCGTCTCTTTGCCTTTCCCCCCTCCCCAGACTCCAACGTCTGTCCCCCGTTCGCAGGTACCACCTTTGTCTCTCCGGTCGGTTCGCCATACTTTGCCGGCCTCCCGCTCATCACCGCCCTCGCCGTCGCCCTTCGCTCCTGTGGCCGGCCCATCGCGTCCCCCGCCTGCTCCTGTGTCGTCCTGCCGCCGCCATTCGGCCTCTCGTCCGTCCTCTCCCGTGGCGCCTTCTCCTCCGGCCCACGGCACCTGAAGTCGTTGTCCTTCTGCTGCTCCGGCCACCTCAGCTGCCACAAACGTCTTTTCTTCTCTTCTACTGACCAACGGTCGACAAACCTCCGCTAACTACGTCGTAGTGGGGCGTCAATGTCTCACTAGGACAGGGTACTCGTCGGGGAACTTCGGCTAACTACGCCGTAGTGATAGGTCGAGTGGTAAGTGATAAGGTGATCGTTGATGAACTGCGGCTAACTTTGCCGTAGTACGTTGAGCTGCTCGGTGGTAACTCTCCTTAACTCGATGGTTGTAGCTACTGAATATATTGCTGGCTACTGACAACAATCAAGGATCGCTGAAGAAGTTCAGCGATCTGTAAACTATCTATACTACTCCTCACTTCTCATAGAACGTCCCTCAACTCCTGCACTGCCTCACGCTCAGTCCTCTTCGTTCAACTTCACCGTACCTTGCCATATCCCTGATGTCCTACTCCGCTCACTTCGACTAACTTCACCTCACTTCCCCTGTTCTGCTCTCCCTCGGTTCCCTTCCCCTAACTTTGCCGTGGTTCTCTGTTAGGCGGGGCTATTGTGACAAATACCTTCTTGGTTCTCGTAACTTCGCCGTAGTTGGTCTCAGTGGTTTGAGTGGAGGTTGGTGGTGGTGAAAGGAAGGTTGGTGATGGTGAAAGGAGGGTCGGTGATGGTGGTTGTCAGGGATGTTACAACGTAGTTCGTGACAGCTGGCGTCACTACGGATCAGGCTGGGTCAGCACGGATCAGCATGGGACGGGACCATTCAGGCTGGCGTCAGGATGACGCCGCCCGTAGAGGTGGCGCTACACCGGGGGGACCAAATGATGGATATATAAGGAGCACATTTTGTCTTGATCCTCTTCAAGGATCCATCTATCATAAGTTACAAAAGTGACAATAGTCTTCCATAGGCCTTCCATAGTCTTGACATACATCTTCGGTCTACTTCGCTTCACTCACCAACACTTCGGGACCCTTCGAGCATACCTTTGGTCACATCGCCACTTCAACCACACCCTTTGATCTTTGACCACACAAGTCTAGTGGTTGTGCAACCTCGCCTCCGCACAACCCAAGCTCGCCAATTACGACTTCCCCCGTCTACTCGTCGCTGGCCCCAAGGCCTGCCAGGTTCGAGTCGTAACAAGGTTTGAACTTGTGATTATGACAAGTCATTATTTGATAGTGTCATTCATGACATCAGGGGATGTTACAATATGATTCATGAGATTCTGGTTCTAGCCAAGGGTAGTGCCAGACAAAATGGATGCAAGGTCACTTGTACTCTCCTCATATGTTTCATTGCCCCTCCAAACCTCAAACCCTGTTGATTGAGCGGGTTTAGGGTACATGTCGGTTTGTTTGGACCTACTCAAAGCCTTCTTGCTTTGATCTGTACCTGTTTCCATTTTGACAAGCCCCCCCTTACCTTCCTCCCATCCACTTGTGCAGTTCCAAGATGCCAACAGTTCAATGTGGCGCTGCAGATCACGGGTGAGTTCTGGTCTGGTGTTGGTATTTTCCTTCTGCCTCTTTTTGCTCTTGCCCTCAGCTCTAACGGTGGCGTTGACAGTCTTGAGTTGCTCCATGAAAGATGTGATGCTTGTCTGTCTGCTATGAGATACCACTGATGCTGAAGTCAAAGCTTGTGATGGCTGCTTCTGTGGGGCAGCACCACTTGTCATCTTTTCATAATCTGAAAATTCTTGACTGGTTTTCAAGAGTTCCACACCCACCTCTTGGTGGATGCGTTCTCCAAGTAAAGAAATCACTGCAGTAAAGCAATCACCCCGTTGTACTTCCTGACAATGAGGAGTAGATATACCCATGAATGTCAGGTTCCACTTGTGATTGGTGTGTCACAGGGTTGTTTCTTCCTTAACTTCTTAGGACCAACGGCCAATAACTTCGTGGGCTTCGACCTTTACCAACTTCGTTGCTCGAGATATGAAATAGGTGACAATAACTTCTGGGTGTAATAACTTCGTGCTTAACTAACTTCTATCACTAAGACAACAACCAGAGATCGTCAAAGATCTCTGGGAACTTCGGCCCTTAAGTACTTCGTCCTTCCCTAACTTCGTCAACGCAGAACTTCGTTCAACCCGACGTCCCGAGCTTCGTACCTCGCGAACTTCGTCCCCGACGAAGTTCGTGCCTTCCTAACTTCGTATCCTCCTAACTTTGTATCTCCCTAACTTCGTATCCCCCTATCTTCCTACATGACTAACTTCGTCCTCGACGAAGTTAGCCTCCTAATACCCTCGTGGGTGGTGAAGTTCATGCGAACTGGGTCGTTGATGGCGAACTGATGTCCAAAGGAACTTCGTTTGATGGGGAAGGGTAATGTCACGCGGCGCCGCGTGACATGGTGTCACGTGGGAGGCTGAACTTCTGTAAGAATGTCACATCAACTTGACCAATATGCTCCACCAAACTGGCCACCTCAGAAGGCAAGGGTGTGAAGCTTCTCTCAAAAACCAACCCTCGGTTCAACACTGCTGCAATGTATGAATGTCCAGTTTTTGGCAGGCTATGCCAATCATTTGCTATACTGCTTGTAGAGGGAGACTTGGCCTGAGTGAACGTGTCAGCTGCATAGAATAAGCCTATTGCCTGTTCCACTCGATCAATTGTAGAGATGTAGTACAAAGGTTTTTTAATATTGTTTGGGTTAGGGATGAGGTTCACGATATTAGTCATGACCTCAGTGTTGGAACCTAGACAAGTTAGCCCTTTGGCAATTTCTCCCTGCCGAAAAAGCGTCTGAGCTTCGGAAGACAGGGTGTCTGGCATCTGAGTATTGACCCAGTCAAAATATTTCTTACGGCCAGCTTGCAGAATGGCTTCAGTCTGTGACAGAGTCAAGATCCCCTCAGCTATTTGGACAGGCAGATCATTGAGGATTGCTGCCACATGTCCAAACTCCTGTAGCTGAGACACTGCTTTCGAGGTTTTTTCGGGGTCACACAGGCCCCGTATATAAGCAGCATGCTGAGAGTCCATTGCCATGTTACTGGTCGTCGGTGCCAGGGCTGTTTCAATGGCATGCTGCAAGGCTGCTACATGAGCCTCTGGAGTGATGACTTTGGAGGCTCCAAAAAGGGAGCGCCAAGCCTTATTCTTGCTTGTGGAGGCCCCTGAGACTGTCAGTCCCTGGGATACCTTTGGCTCAGATCCTGAAGACGTTGACATGGAGATTCACTGGTGGAAGTTTGGATGTGGTTGTTAGAATGATAAATGTGAGGGGCCGCTTCTTCTATGTGCCGTCTTTTTATAGACGACTTACGCAGAGGCGGTGCGTGAGGATTCATTACTCAGCAAGATGGCAAAAAATACAAGGGATCGATGAGGGAGTGACGTAGTGGGAGATTTCAGCGAAGCTTTCACGATCGATGCGTCGCCTTCAACAAAGGAAATCTAGGAAGGCGGCCGAATCGACGATGAAAGCAACGGAGGGTGGGGCCGTGGGTGCACGAGAGAAACTCACTTCTCTAAGTTTCTTACACTTCACACGCTTTCACGATTGGCGTGCACGTCCGGTCCAATCGGACAAGAAGCATGAAAGCTCGAGGTCCACAGTCAGTTGGCAATTGGCGAAAAAGTGTGGGGGACGAAGATCCGAAGAGGTGGAAGGAAGTTGTGGAAGTATGTTCCGTCATTCTTACTTGAATATCGACTTTCACCTGACTTGTCGTTCTCATCTTATTCACTCTTGACTCTTCTTTCATCCCTTCACACCTCCCCTTTGTGAATACCAACATGAACGGTCATACGCCAAAAGAAGACCAAAAGTACTTTCTCAATGATCAATACAAAGTCGCTCAGATCGATGGGAGTGAGTCGTCCGTTCGTCTTTCTTCAAAATCATTCCTTTCCGTATTAGTTGGACGTCTCACTTTGTTCGATACTGTTCTCTCCGGAGTCCGGTAGTCAAGTTATTTTGAATTTGACATGATGGGACCTGGAGACGGGTCGGTTCCGACTTTGTGGAACCGTGGTGGGATGGGAAAGGACACTAACGGGCTGGAGATGTTGGGATGGATGCTGATCTACCAGTCAGAGGGTTGATGGCTGCTGAGAAACCGGGGGTGATCACTTTCGTAAGTGGTCTTTTCATGATAGATGGGAGTGTCGCTAATCACGCAGAGGTGAGCTTGTTACCTTCTCTACCGTCTCTCCCTTTGGTTTCCCTCATTCCTTCAATCCTCGCATCCTCCGTCATACCCAGCTGGGATGTATCTCTTGTCCATTCGACCGGTCGCTCGATATCACCCGATGTCTTCACCCTGCGCAGCAGCCATATCTTCCGTGCATCCTGTCATGTTCATGTGGCATCGAAGCCGAGGTGGTATGCCCAGCCTGTGGACCGCACTTCGTCTCACTATCTGTGCAGAGAGCGACATGGAGATGATACTTAGGGCCCGCGCTGACATTTCAGAGCCGGTCTGCCCAACCCTGCAACCTTCCCCTTCGAATCTATGACCCTCAACCTCAAACCTTCCCTTGACTCTACAGCTCCGAAAGGTCCTACGTCTATCACTATCCAAGGTACAGATCTGGAAGATGCTTTACAATATGGTCCCTCACCTGGATTAGTAGGATTGAGAGGATGGTTGTCAGGTTTGCAGGAGACTGTGCATAAACGTCCGATAGGGGACAGCTGGGGGATTACTATGGGTACTGGAAGTCAAGACCTGATGGTCAAGGTGGGTGATTCCCTTCCAATCCGCATCCTGATATCCTGTTGTTTTCTCTTCGAAGTCACAAGGGGATCTGGATGCAAATTGCGACAGTCCAGTCTGTCAGATAGGCTGGTCACGGCAGGCTGATTTGGCAGGCTTTTGGAGCGGTCCTTAACCGTGGTGATCCAATTTTACTAGAAGCACCTCTGTACGCCGGAGTGTTGCCTTCACTCAAAAATCTCGAGGCGGAGTTGATCGGTGAGTTTTACTTTATCCGTCATCCCCCGTATCGTGTATTTTTTGCCGGCCATGTCTCGTCCTCAAAATGGGATAGAGTATGCATAGACATACTCACTTTCAGAGGTCGATGTGGACGATCAAGGTCTTTCAGCCAAGAACCTCGAACGGGTTCTCGCTTCCTGGCCTACGGACAAGAGACGTCCGAAAGCTGTTTAGTGAGACATTTCTCGTGACTCTCATGCTATGGATACTGACGTTCAGCTCTAACCCAACTGGTTGTAATCCTTCTGGATGTTCAGCATCGAGAGAGAGGAAATTAGAAGTTCTCGAAGTGTGCAGAAAGTATAATCTGCTCATGATTGAAGGTCAGTTTTTCCTCCCTTCTTTGACCTAACACTGACGGACAGACGATCCTTATTGTGAGCTCATCGTTCAATTTGATCGACGCACAACACCTCATATGACGATGTTTCGAAACGGAAGCTTGAAAGGGGTAGAAGATAGACTAAGAAACAGACTACCTCTCTTCACCTCTCCAACCAAGTTATTTTGAATTGGAAACAGAGGTCTTTCCCCACGGTGGTCATGTGATCAGGTTCGACAGTGTTTCCAAGCTTTTCTCAGCGGGTATGCGTCTGGTCAGTATATTCATCACTGTGATGATGGAAATTGATGGTTTAGGGTTTCGCCACTGGACCCAAGGCGCTTATCAATGCTATTGACGTCGCTCATGCCGGTAAGCGTGTAGATGAGTGTTACGAGGAAAGAGCTGATGAAAAGCTAATAACCTTCATACCAGTTCCATCTCCCAAGCCGTGGCTCTGGCCTTGATGCAACATTGTGAGTTTCCCCCTTATATGCTCTCTCTATCATCGTCTACACATGCTGCTACAATTTGAGATACGTCAGCTTGATGTGGTCGAGTAATGCTGATTTTCAGGGGGTATCAAAGGATTCCTCGCTCATTCTACCGCCGTCGCTCACTTTTATGCCGAACGTCGAGAGAAATTCGAAGCTCTAGCACACAAACATTTGGATGGATTGGCCACTTGGGTATCTCCTAAAGCTGGCATGTTCTTATGGATTGACATGTCCCCTTCGGGGATAGACGATTCGATGGAGTTGATAAGTAAAGAAGCGTTGGCCAAGGGTGTTTTAGCTGTCCCAGGTTTTGTGTGGGTACCTCTATTTTCCCCAGTCACCTTTTGCTCTTCTTTTGATCAATCCTGCAGGCAGATCTCTGCGTGTTGGTGATGAAGTCACTTTGGGATGTACGGACCGGACTATGCTGATAAAAGTTTCTACCCGCTCAAACGTAAAAGCGCCCATGTGAGAGTTTCGTTCTCGCTCGTAGATCTGGATTCAGAGGCTGAATTGGGGTTCCAACGACTGGCCGAGGCTATAAGGGATAAACGACGTCAAATGGGATTTGAGTGAGGTGTGAGTTGTAGAATAGATATAAGAGAGATCTTCATAGAGTTCAAGATGCATTCTGGGCTGAGAGGTGATTATCCAAAGCTTCTTCCAATGTCACCCCAAGATCATATGAAATGGAGTTGTTCAAGTAGAGTTGTGGATGGCAGGGTAAAGGTTAAAGCCGATGAACCGATGATCGAGATTTGTACCGGACCCGAAAACCCGGCTCTCTCTTTCTCTTTTCCACTGTTCTCCTACTTGAACTTGATCTATAACATATCTCTTTGTACATTGAATTCACCAAACAATTACACCATCTTATCATCCTATCCCTCTCATCCATCGGTAACTCAAGATGAACCATCAAAATGGTTTCTACCCAGATCCAGATCTACAACATTCATCATCCATTTCATCTTCTTCTTCCCCAGATCCAGATCCAGGTCCATCATATCAAATTCAACCTTCTTATCCTACTTCCATCCGGGACATCGGGACGAATGATGAAAGAGGAACAGTTATAGATGGTGGGACAGGAGTTATGGGGAATTTAGTATTTCAAGATCTTCATGCTTTTCTCGAAATGTTTTGGGCCAGATGGACTGAAGAGATGGAAAGGGATGAACCTGATTTTAGAGTTTATAATTTGCCTTTGGCGAGGATAAAAAAAGTTATGAAGAGTGATGAGGAGGTAAAGGTGGGTCTTTGGGTTTTGTTATTTTCCATATCTTTCCTTTTTTTTTCTCGGGGTTTGAGTGATGGGGTGGTGGATTTGTTTGGGTTGACGCGGTGGCTGGTATTGACAAGTTTGGTGGGATGTGATGTGATCAGCTTGGTGAGGGTGTGTCAGGGGGAGAAACGGTTGAGTCGGAGGGATTGTCGGGACTATCAACAATACACAATTGAGAGGTCGGGTGAACTCCTTAGTGGAGGAAATATGGGATAAGAAGGGGAGATAACGAGAAGTGAAATGAAGTTTCCACTAGGGCTAGTGAAGATAACGCCGGGGTGTATGATATGGATTCGAGGGGAATCCGCAGGAATAACAAAGAAAAAGGAGGGGAGGAACATGATGAGAGAACTGTTAGATGTCATTCAAATATGACGAGGAGAAGCATACAGTTTGAACTGACACATAGATGATCTCCGCTGAAGTTCCTGTCATGTTTGCAAAGGCTTGCGAGGGTGAGTTTTTTGGTTTTTTGTCTTATCCCGTCTCTTCTCTTTCCTCCCACCCTTCTCGCTCAACGTCTTGCCGTCGTATACCTCAGGATATCGGGGAACGATTGAGGAGCCTCACAATTCGCCAGTCTTTGAGGAAACACCAAAATCTCCACTTAAAGAATCATCACCATCCCCAGCCGATTCATATTATCCATTCTCCATTCGTCCTTCACTCCTTACAAAGCTACTCTCAGCATCCCTCTGCTATTTCCAACTATCAACCCATCCACTCCTCCTCTCCAATCCAAAAATTCGTTTCTCTAACCCCTCTCTCAATCCAAGTGAAACCCTTCGAACACTCCAACCCCTGAATTAAACTGAGCAGGGGATTTCAAGAATCAAATAGTAAACCAGTCTCAAACGCCTCAATAGAAAACACTTGCCTAAAGAAAAAAAGGAGAAAACACGCTCACACAAAAGTATTCATATCCGAACTCACAGGTCGAGCATGGTTAATAGCCGAATCGAATAAACGTCGTACATTACAAAAATCAGATGTAGCGGCAGCTATAGCGCATAGTGACATGTTTGATTTTTTAATCGATATTGTTCCTAGGGATGATAATGATATTACTTCTCATCCTCCTCCTCCTCCTCCACCACCACCACCACAACAACAACAACAACAACAAAATACATTACATGAACCTATTTCTCCAACATTAATTTCTGGGCCTTCTGGGAATTCTTTCAATCATCCACATGATCATAATTTCATTACATCTCCTGATATTCTACCAGATGGGAAAAGAGTGAAATCGAATATGGATGATCATGCAGAACGAGAAAACATCGGTGGGAGTTTAGATGGAAACGATAAGGTCAGATTGAATGGAGGGAAGTATATCAATGGGGATCAGACGCACGGACACGGAAACGGATACGAATACGAATACGAGTATAGAACTCAACGGGTCGATGGTCATGGAGAAGATGGGGTAGACATGGGTGGATTGAATGGGGGAAATAGGATAAGGGTTAATGGATATATTTCACAAGATGATGATGAAGAGATAGAAGGGGATGCTTTATATAATCAATTCGTTAGTCAAGTAAGTGATGGTTGAATAGGAAAGATTCAAAATTTCATCATATAATGAATGCACCTTGGGATCATATTTCGAGAGATGGTCTACCAACATTATGTACTTTTCTTAAAATTAAGAGTGTGGTTGTGTTGATATGGATTCACCGTGTCCATATACTTCACTCATATTCTTACACTCGTTGCATGATGGAGAGGTTGGATATTGAGAGGTCGGGGAAGTTAACAGGGTCACCTTAGTTGGATCCAGTGAAGAACGACATCAGTGGCCAGTGGCCAATGGGTCAGCGAAGAAGCGAAGAGGTCTCGAACAATGTGGACAAGTGTTCGGTCAAAATACAGTTCAAGTACAAATCATGCAACGGATCAATTCATTTGTCATCTCTTCATACTTCATTGTACATCTTTCACTTGATTCATCTACCTTTCATTCATAATATTCTCATCTCACGACGTTACCAATTCCTTCTTCTTATAAAACGACACTTTTTGTACTTGTATTTTGATTGTGATTACAGCAGGCATATATCAACACGTTTTTTTGACTAGGTACACAATTGGGTGTGATTAATTACAACTTTCTGAATCATCAATTATCTTTCTTCATCGTCAATATTGGGTGATCATACACTTCCATGATCTCCCTCTTTACTACTCCCACCGTCGGAAAGTCGCGTTAAAGGGGACGTAGTCTAAGAATAGAGTGTGAAGGTGTGGGAGATGAAAAGGATGAGGGGCGTGGGAGATTATGGGGAGAATGTAGGCCTGTGGAAGATGTAGAGGATGAACGAGATAACCGACTTAATGATAGACTAATTCCGGCAAGGGTCAACACATATAACTCCCGCAGTTTCATTCCACGGGTAAGACCAATCCGAAAGGTATTGTCTCACACTCGCCCCAAGTCGGATTTTCGAAGCGCCCCTGGCGGCATCTTGCGTACCGACATGTTTACCTTCTCCCACTACCACGTATACTGATCGTCAACTCCACATGATCCTGAGGAGACAGAACAGAAACTCACCGAGACCGCGGAAATTCTCCAGTTCGAGCTGCAAAGTCAACATTCCATCTTCTCATTTTCGAAGGACAATCCAAGCCATCTGGACAGCTTCGACGATTTGTAATCATTGAATCTCTCCGATGGGTGGACAAAGCATGTGTAATCTCTCATCATTCCAGAAGGGTTGTTATGATGTATTGGACAGAGATCAAAAGAAGGAGGGCAAGTAAGAAGTATCGGACAGGACGAAGAGAAGACGAGCAAAGATGAAATATTGTAAAAAGAAACGATGAAGAAAGCATCCACTCACCTGATCAAGGAACTGAGCCAAAATCTCTTGAGCTTCATTCCCATGTAAAGTATGAAGATCGATAACAGCCTCTGTCCTCTCTTCCGCCGACAACATATTTCCACCCGACACCGCTCTCGTACCTGCTACACCCAACACCACCCCTAAGCCTCCACCACACTCTCTTCCTCTTACAGACCTATCAAGAGGATCGTCACTCCAAGAAGGATCTCTTTCCCTAGCCGCCTTTTGTGCCTCAAGCTTTCTCTCCCTGACCAGTAGTTGAGCCGCTTCGGTAGCTTCGCTCAACATGCGTTCGTTGAGCGTTTTACCCTCTCTAGAGAATCTCTTGGCGGCTGCACCATCCCCACGACGGAAAGCGTCGGCAGCTCGGGCGAGACAAGCGTTACGTGCATGACCTAAACGGATAGCGAGCGCTCTAGTGGACATGTATTGCTCGTTAACCTTGGAACCTGTTTGTAGCGTGGGAAGTAGAGTAGGAGGTCGGAGAGCGATACGTGCTGATGCTCGAGGTACTGCAGGTACGGAAGTTCTTTCTGCTTCTAATACACGAGAACCAGACTGCGAGACGGGGGAGAACCGAGATCCTGCAATCTGGATGGAGGGAAGAGTGACAGGTCCAGGAGCGGGACGTTTGACCGCGTTGGCGAATCTTGTCCGCGAAGGGTCCAGTCGATTACCGTTGGAACGATTTATTCGAGCGGCGAGAAGATCGGGAAATTCATCTGGCGGTGCATAACCCGATGTTGTGGGAGTCGTTGCACGTGCTGAACCATCTGAAGAGAGCTCCACAGAAGCCATTGCTTGAGTGAGAGCAGAGGGATCGAACCCATTAGGAAGGTGATGAAGAAATCTAGGACATCAGGTGTGATCTCATCGGAAGGACAGACGACTCACTCGCAGTTTGGTCCTTTGGCACAATGTCCTCGCAGCCAGAAACGACACAAAGCTCGTTCAAGATCATGACTGCTTCATGAGCTGACTACACGAACACCAATCTTCTTTTCACTCACCTAAATCGACAGTCCGATCGCCGACATTCACCCGTGAGATAGTACCTGCACATCCTGACTGGAGGACCGCCCGGACTCCTAGGTCCATAGCCAGGACTCAAATTTCCATTATGAGTTCTCCCTCCTTGGACAAAATACCCATCGCGCGGTGCAGGAAAGTTTGTCGATACAGCACCTCGACCACCTATGCCGATGAGAGGGCGCGGCGAGGACACTCTCTGAGGAGTTGATGAACCTGATCTGGGCTGAGTGTACTGCGCGACGAGGATAGCCATAGCTCCTTCAAAGTCGTATCCAGCTCGATGGAGAGCATCCTCGAGTTCGGACCGAGGGACAGATGTGAATACAGAGGCCAAAACGTCCAGCGGAGTCATACCTGTGCTTGTTTCGAGAGCATCCTCCTCCGCTCTTGCCAGGTCTGCCCCTGCGAGTTGAGCCGCAGGATCTGATTGAAACGTTCCGAATGATTGTGCGGAGAGACTCGTATGTCCGCTACTGGATGAACCCGGCTCGAAAGGCTTAGCGTCGAGGTTCAGCGCGGATTGTTGGTGATGATGTAATTTTGGCAATCCAGTTCCAAATGGGGAGAACTCATCGTCATCGTCGTCTAGTATGATTCCTCTACTCGAAGGTCTGTCTTGAGGTGGGGAGAGAGACGTTTCAGGCATCTTGATAGTGGGTCTACTGGGAGTACCAATGGGCGAGTGAAAAGGACTGGATTGATCGCTGAATAGAGGTGTCGCAATGGCGAGATTTGAACCTGTCCTCGCCATGGCAGAAGCTCCAGAGGTGAATGGTGAAGCTGATCGAGGTGGTTCCGGTGGTATATCTTTCCATGGATCACTAGGGGAGAAGGAAGCACTGTGAAGGGGTACAGAGATCGAACGTGGGGAAGGATTAAAAGTGATGGCTTTTGCATTGAGCATTTTCGAAGCTGACAAGGGTGAACCTTCAAGTGGAATATCTGATTTGGTCAATGCGGAGGTATGAGTAAAAGTAGGAGTTTGATTCGCAGATACTGAAGGTGATAATGGTCTTCCCATGGGAGTACGAGTACGGAATGATGGGAGACGTGGAGGTGTGAATGGTCGAAGAGGTGCTACAGTTATCGCAGGTGATGCTCTTGGTCTTGTGGGAGTCAAATGAGGGGCGTAGGGTACGTTTTCGACGTCGTCTGTTTTGATCAGCTGATAACTTTGACATTCCTTTGTCATAGGAAAAACGACGTACCTCTACGACGATGCATACAATCTAAACAAACTTGTTCTAAAAGCACTTCATCCTATTTCATCAGTCATATTAAACTTGATGTGAAATTTGAATAAACTTACCTTTCCTAAAGTACCAAGATAAGGTCGAAGTAATTCTTTCAATATTTCTTCTTGATCATTATCAAGTAATTCAACTACACGTCTTACCAATTCTTCTTTTTCTTTGTTCCCCACAGCTCGTGTGACATTTGGACGTGGCGTTTGTAATGTCATAGACGAACGATTTGGATTTTCAACGCCCTGAGATGATTCCTGAGTGGGATGATGAGTCGTTTCATCGTCCGATTCCCCACTAGAGGAAACGCTGAGTGGATGTTGAGCGCCCTTTCGAGGAGGACTATTCTCCAAGCTCAAGAGTAAGTTGTGAAGGTAATAACTTAAATGAGGGTAGGTGGTGAATACCGATGTGGTAGGTTTTAATCCAGAGGTAGAAGATGCGGGAGAAGGTGAAGGAGAAGGGGAAGGAGGAGGTACACCTAAACCGAGCATATTAGAAGTTGAAGCTAGCTCTGAAGAGATGGTTTCGCCATCTGACGCGGTTACCTTTGTCGTCATGATTTATCAAAGTTGTCAAGTATTTTCCCTGTGAAGATTGAGGAATGTGGTAAGGTTTGAGGAAAAGGTGATGTGATGGGGATTATGTTGAAGAAAGAAGCATCTAGAGGATCAAGTGTGAAAAGTATGAAACTGTATTGTAAGGAGAAAGTGTGTGAAGGATGTGACCGGGGGGGGGGGGGGGGAAGGCAACCTTGAAGGGTCATTCATACACGACGTCACACTTCTAATACTTTCAATTTTCCCACGGTCGTCAATATCTAACCTCTCACCAATGACAACCCTCCAATGTCCAATCTCTTAACGTTACTCCCTACACGTCAAACCACCCAAGTCACCACATCCAACATCCATGTCCAATCAAGCCCCTTCAGCAGCACAAGTACCCTCTGGTGTAGTTCCAACACCTTCGAACCCTCCTGCAGTCACTCCTACCCCAGCTGTGGCCGGACCATCTTCAGACGTTCAAATGAATGGGGTATCAACCCCAACTCCTAATGGTCCTGGTGTCATGCCTAATGGTGATGTCGCTCATCTCGATCAAATCTACACTCAGAGGAGAGAAGAAGAAATGGCTAGGAGGAATAGAAGTTTGGCAGAATTTTTAGTCATGTTGGATAAATATAAACCATTGGTTGGTGTTTCCACCATCCCCCATTAGAGTATAATTAACTTTCTTCCGTTTTTAGTCGATCAGTCAACACCCATTATCTTCCCTCACAACTACCCATTTTCTGATCATAATCTTGTGAAGATCATTCATCTTGTTTATAGGCGATGGAGAGAGAACGGATGACTGACGGATAGATACCAGAAGAAGTGACGGAATATTACCTACAAAAAGCAGGTTTCGAATGTACAGATCCGAGATTGTCAGTCCTCCTTTCGTCTCTCTCTTAACACGGATATCATGATCTCGCTAATGAGAGTCATTATAGTTTCTCTAGTAAAAGTCGTTATAGTGTCGCTGACAAATAGAAAAAGATTACTCTCATTATCAGCACAGAAATTCGTTTCTGATCTCGCGAGGGATGCTCTGCATTTCGCAAAGTTACGTGTGAATGGGACGGCTGTAGGAAGAGGACGTCCCGCTTCGGGTGTAGTGAGTATCTTCTTTGACATAACCCCACAAAGCTGTAATTCTTTGTCCACTTAATTACCACTCTGTCTAAAATCACATCTTGATAGAAGTGGTCAAACACGACACTCTCATGCAGTGACAAGTGGGAACCGCACGATTGCTGCGTGAATGGTCATGTAGTGAAGTGCAGAGATGACCCATTCTGCTGTTGAGAGTGATAGTAGAGACGTGGATTAGAACTGATCCGTAGGACAAGAATAGAATAGTCCTAACGATGGATGACCTTTCACAAGCTTTAGGTGAACATGGTGTTGATCTCAAAAAACCAGATTACTGTCAGTGTCCACTTTTCTTTCTCTTCACTCAAACGACTTTCTATCGGACCGACCTTACATTTTTCTGGACATCTGCTGATTCACCAGACTTGTAAAAACCTTCTTTCTAAAATATTTGTATAATCCTCACTTTGTAAAACCTTCCATCGTACATCCACGAAAAACACTCGCCCCATATGACCGATGCATGACCTTACTTTATGCCATCGCACTGATGACAAGCCCAAATGTACCATAACATGACTATAACTACAACACTACTTATCCATACTTCAGACTAAACATCATTATCATCATGTATCATATTTGACGAGTTATAGGTTCTAAAACTAACGACTTCACTTGTCTCATTCTACTCCCTCTCAAATTCCCTAAACTACCAGAACGTTTCCCTATCATCCCATTTTTCTTAGGAGAAAAAGTATATGTCGTCATGACCATCTTTACCGTTCCTATTCCCTTTCCTCCCATTTCTCCTTCTCTCCAAGGAAGATCCGATTCTGAGGCTCTCTTTCGTCGATTCTCCACAAAACCACCGGGGCTTTTCTTGTGAGGAGTTCTGAGAAGGCGTTCACCACTCGAAAGACATTTCCTGATGTGTCGACGTTCAGAATTTGACGTAGTGGAGTTCAAAGCTATTTGAGCTTGTAAGATTAGTCTTGTCATTTTTTCACCTAACAAGTCTAATCTTCTTTCCATGTCATCATCTTCTCTCCCTACTTTGTCTGCTACCTCCATTGTGTCAAACTCGTCCGTTATACCCATCAATGCATGTTCAGAGGTCGACCTAAAGTCAGGTTCTGATTCGAGGGCGTCGGGATGACGTATACGATTTCGTCCTTGAGAGGGAAAATGATCGGAAAGACGTTTAGACGATAGAGATGAATATGATGGAAAAGATGGATATGAAGGGTAAGAAAGATGCGAATGATAAGATGGATAATTGGATTTAGATAGACGTCGATGACGATATGTTGTATGACGTGATGTAGAAGGAGTGATGAGTGGTGTGGAAGTCTGCAAATGAGCGTTTCTCCCCAAAAACAGCTTGAAACCGTCCATGTCACAGTCATTCTCACTGATACTCAACTGAGATGGACCCTCCAAGTAAGCAACCCATCGAGAAGCCACGAAATCTTTACGTATGAGAGAACTTGGAAGTGATGTTCTTCTCATTGACGATCACTTCAAACTCCGTAAAGGTAATCATCATACAAGGAGAAAGAAGAATAATGATCTCACCTCACTCAATTCTTCCCATTCATCGAATGAGGTATGAGGCACTTCAGTGTCTTCGTAAGCTGGGGGAAGGTCCAATCGGGGGTTATCGAAATGACTCTGATCTTCTCTCTCAGTGTTTGAACCTTCTGGTATTCGATTCGATATGATAGGGTTCGTAGAAGGGAGTTGGGGTGGCTGGGATGTAGGAATTTTGGATGAGGAAGGTCTGTTCGGCCAGAAACTAGGAATTAGTTTCGTCTCATTTAATCGCTCAGATCTTTCGCATTGAGCGCTTTCATCCTCAATTGGGATTTAGATGTCTTCCAATTGGATAACCCGTGTTTTAGTGGGATCATAGGTTCTCAGTCGGATCATATCTTTCGAATGGAGTGACATGTTTCAAATAAGTGATATGTTTCAGATAGGTTCGAGTGATTTACAAGAGAGGGAGAAGTCCAAAAGTGGTCAGGTGGGAGGTTTGACTAGGGTAGAAATGGACAAGACTCACCCAAAAGTCGCACCGATGACCATGGCCTCTACAGCATCTTTCATCCAACCTTTCGTCTTGATTTCGTCTCCTATTATGTTTCTCTTCCCATTGGAATCCGTTTCCTCAAGAGCCGTCCGTCCTGTAATGTCTCTAGTAAGAAGGTCGTCCAAGTCAGGCGGACGGTCGGTATTTGAGAACACTACTATCAGCCAGTCTTCAAGTGCTATCACCATTATGCCAATATGCCAGGATAGAAGATAGAGGAACCATCGTCGTCTGTGATATTCAAATGGAAGGTAAGATGAAAGTTCTCATGATATGGAATGAAGTATGAGGTGAGATGTAAGATAGAAAGTGGCAAGGTGATTGTTCTTTATATGGCAAAGATAAGTTAAGATGAACAGATTAAATTTGACCAACTTACAAGTAGATAATTCCCTTTCCACTCTCTCTCCTACTTCCCCAATTCTCTCCACACGACCTCTTCCTAATCTCATATCCACGTCCACTACCGCTTTCGCCCTCGTGGTTTTAGGCTGCCATCCTGGTTTGGTGAGACTCGTTGGTCGTGGCTGTGGTAAATCAGGCCTACAAGTGGAAGAACTGGCTTGAGATGGGTTAAGAGGACGGGATGGTTTGGGTGGTCTAGATGGACCTGTTTGAGGTTGAGTGGCTGATGGGATCATTGGGTTAACCTCTTCATGAGAGTAGTAGTCGAAGAAAAAGTTGATTGCACGATTTCAGTCGGATGAGGTGTGGGGGGTACGACAAAAGTCATAAAGCTGAAAAGAGGATCCTACCGGTGGAGCTGAACACTCTCCGATTACTCGTACTGATGGCTGTGTGGGAAGAGAAAGAGTAACGACAGGAGAGACATGAGGATGGCCCAAGAGGATGATGGATTCCTTTCTCAACTTTGGACGCGATCATGACGCGATTTCTTCTCTTTTTTTCACGTTTCATCTTTGATCCCTTCCTCCTCATGCAGTCCCACTACTACTACTACTAATGCACCCATTAGGACTCTCTCCGGTCAACATGCAACTATAGCAATCATCTCGAGGTCTGCACATGCAGTTGTCCAATTGTCCTTCAGAGTGGTGATGTTGAGAGGTAATCTGCTATACACTAAACCAATCAAGTTTTTCTTGACTCCACTGAGGTGACCGACTTGAAATCACGCTGTCAAGTTCCAAGACGCTTCAAGGTGGGCCTGAGGCGTGAGGCTTGTATCCAGGAATGTAGGTCGACCCATGTACTGTACTTAGTAAGCATGAGGTATGTACATGATCTCATATACCAATCGACCGTCATCCCACTTCACCTGGATGGTGAGTGCCACCTCTTCTTCTATGTATCCCAAATACAAAACTCGTACTCGTACAAATGTAGGTACCATTGTAGCCGCCTATAGTTAGCCTACCTCTAGCCATGTATCTTGTAGCTTGTATCTTGTATAGCTTGTAGCTTGTACATCCGAATCAAGTCCTTATGATATTCATCCTTTGACGGTGATAAAACTGAGTTTAGTTCGTGATCCATGTGCTTCGGTCAACGGTGTTTGCTCGATTCCCTTCATCCCTTTACATTCATTTAGATCCTTAGTCCTGACTTGTGTATGTTGTGTAAGCTGATCAGTCCTCGAGTATGGTACAAACGTTTCTCTACTGAACCGCCGTCCCAATATACTGTGCCATATGGGTCCACAGATCCACAGAATCACATATTCACGGATAAGAGGCGGAAGAGAAGAGGGAGGGGAGAAGTCGGCCATCCGGGTAAGGATAAACCATTTCTTCTCTCTCCACCTTCCTCCTTCCCCCCCTCCCCCACTCATACGTGATCTATGACGCAAAGGTAATGCATACTATCCTTTCCCTTCAGGGTACTAAGTATTCATTAGATCCGCTGACTTGACTGCGATCGAGTCAAGTTGAAGGATCATAATGATGTAGAAACCCACGAGGTCCCCAAAATATCACTCGTTCGAATATATATATATACATATGTATATTCGTACTCCTGGTGATTGTGAGAGGGGTCAAAAAGGAATAAAGTGGTTTTTTATCGTCAACAAAAATGTGGAAGAAATCAAGTTTATTACTTTTGATTTCACTCGTTGGAACATGTCTGGGTCGAAGTGTGAAAAGGACAAATGATGTGAAAAGGTTGAGACAAGATAAAAGATGGTTTCCTATATCTCCTAAAGTTGTCATCTTCTCGTATGTAGTCTGAACAAGATCTCATGAAATGTCAATCAAAGCTGATATGCAGCATGTATGCGGATGAAAATGTTTGGGTCGAACCGTTCGAATTATATGCCAATATCACAATCCCAGGTTTATCACCTTTGTTCCCTCAAGTACAATGTGATTGGAAAGGAGAAATATGTCATATAACTACTGGAGAAGCAGAGATTAATGCTGCTTGTTCCGTTTCTGTGAGTTATTCCTTATCTCTGTCATTATAACCTACCTTAATCATGATCTATCTCCGAACGTGCGAAATTGAGGATCTATTCATTCCTTCATGTATTACTGTTCTAATCATTTTTCTCTCCCGTACTTTCTTCACAGATCGGTACTTCTAATGGAGAAACAGAGGGGATATATGAAGGGTTCAACCTTGATAAAAGAGAATAAACTTCTGACATTAGGCACTCCTCCTGTCACCCGATTTCGACCTAACTTCCACTTATTTCCTCATAGCAGGAATAGCAGGTGTTAATCCTTTTACCGGTACACTTGGATCTGTAGGCTTAGCACGTTGGGCAGTTCAGGTAGCTTTGGCATACGAGGTCGATTCTAGACAAATACCTTCGAATTGGACGACGGGTTATTGGTTAGAAGGGACTGAAGAACCTGGTCAAGCACCTGCTGAGATTTATGGTAGTGAGGTTTTTGAGGTGATTTGTTTTTGCTTTTCTTTTCTTTTCATTTTCTCATAACTACGATCCTGCCAATTTCCCATTTGTGAAAACTCCTTATTCTATCGAACTTCATATTCCGGCCCAAGCTGTTGTCCTTGAGGGGTCGCAGGGTTAGAGATCGTCCAAGTCCGTTTCCCATTACTCATACACCGTCTAGAAGGTATTCGAAGAGTATAAGGACGTGTAAGAATAAAGAATAAAGTCAAGAACTAATCGTCAAGCTCAATACCAACCTCCGTGACGCCATAATGCCTTATCTCGATGGTGTGAAATTGAATGACACTGAGGCTGCAATGACTTATCGTGCGAATTACGATTACGCTCCGGCGAACCAACCCCCACAGATTTTCTTCGGAGATGTCGCAACTTCGGATGTATATTTCGCCGGAAGTTTATTAGGTGAGTGAAGATATCCACTTTCATCTGAAAACCCAATTCACTTTTTATCTAATTTCTCAACCACTCTACTACAACCTCCCTTAATATCTCTGAACCTCTTTGGCTCACTACTCCATATGATGGTTCCGTTTCGACTGTTGAGCCTCAACTTCCAGAATTGAATCATCGCTTGGTCGTGGGAATCTCATGTCAGGGATTGAGGGGAAATGTCACAGTTGGATAATTGAAATGGAAGATGTACAGTATGACGGGAAAGAAAGATTGACCACCAGGTGAAACATTTGGAAACATCACGAAACTCTGGACGAACGATACTGGAGTCTACGCTCTTACAGCTCAAGAAGATAATGCGAGTTTAGAAGCAATGGTCAGAGCTTCAAAAGTTGGTTTGATGGATATTTCCAGAGTTATATTAATGAGGACTGCTAGTGATTTCGATAGAGCTCCTCATAATCAAGAAACGTGAGTTTCTTCCATTTTTTCCCCCCTTCAACATCATACAGTATAGTACTGTATATTCCGAACAACTCGGATTCTCTCTCTTGACAAACTTATCATTCACTTGATACTACTCCACGATGGAATATTTTCTACTCAAGAAACTCTTTGTCCTATCCTCGTTTGAAAGGAACATTAGAGAGGTCACGAAATGGGATTGAAGTTGAAAAAGGATATGAATGAAGTTGATCAAATAGGGTTTATTCTTTTGAATATAATCAAGGTGGATACGAACCTGCTTTAGCTAATATACTAATTGCTGGTCAACCTATCGTTGAGGTAAGTTTGATTCCTTTTTTTTCTTTCATAACGTTTTTTTTTCTTTCCTCGCTTCTCCTGATAGTCTCTTCTCTTCTCCTCCCCTCGCCCCTTCTCTTCTCTTCGCTTTTCTTTTCATCTTTGTCTTGCTTGTCCGTCAGGCATGAGTGGGACTATCACATTTCCTCCATCTCATCTTCTCTTCATCAGTTTATCATCTTGTCTTCACCAGTCTATCGCATCCCACACCAAATCACACTCATCACCTACTGCAAGTCTCATGACCTTATGTTCAAACTTAATATGCTTCAATCATATCGTATCAAATGTGGAAAAGGATATACTAACAGAGCTCATTCCTAGGGTATAATCAAACACTGGGAACAAAAATACAAAAAAGGTGTAAAACCTCAAGATGGATGGTTGTACAATTCAGACGTTTTACATACTTTGACAACACGTAAACGTAAGAGAAATTTCGGTAGATTTCGGGGTTGATCAAACTCTGTGATCTACCTGACTAGAACAAGAATCTTGAGAATGGAGTATGAGGTCTAGTCATAGGTAAATTGGACATTGGACATTGGAAATTGGATCATGGACAGTAAGATATATATAGGAACAAAAAGGCTTTATGGATAAACTCAAAGGTTGAATGAGTGGTAATGGATTAATATAACACCTTATAGCTACTGACCGGTTCTCATACTTTTGAAAATGATGTTTGAGTAAAAAGAAGGAAAAGAGATATAAAGTATGCATTTCTATCAAGTCAATACAACCTATTGTACTTTGATTGACAAGAATTTCTAAAATCCCAACAAGATGATCACTCTCTTTCCTTTCCCCCCTCTTCCTTTCCTTTTGTACGTATGTACTACAAAGTCCTCGTGTAAGGTGAAAGCTACATTGAGATGACAATCAAGAACATCCACCTGAACAATAACCTCCATCACCTAACCCACATCCAAAACAACTGACAGGTCCTAATCCCGCACTGGCCATACATAACATAACAACACTTACCACCCCTTCCCCTAAAACAAAACCGGAAGCAGCTACAATAGCTAACAAAGGTGTTTCTCCTCCATTATTTCGAGAAGTACGATAAGACACATAACCTCCTATTAATCTAGCGAGTGAGAAAGAAGGTGAATTTAAAAACCCAACTGCGAAAGCTATACCGGATGGGAGATACGGTATGAGGTTTAAGATGAGAGGATAGGAAGAAAGATAAGGACGTAGAGATTTGATAGATGAAGTAAAAGTGAAAAACATTGAGAATATGAGCATGAATGGTATTACGTGTGATGGAAGATGTCCTTTGTTTAAAAGTCTAGCTAGATTAAGCCTATGTTATTAGTAAATGATATCATGCTCTGAAGGCTTGACAGACTGGTTTCTTCTGATGGGGAAGGGAAGGGAGGGTGGGGGGGGGGGATAGGAGAACACTTACCATACACCAGCGGATGGTACGGTAAATTGTGGTCCGGGGATTTGATAAACTGAAGTATAAAATTTATATCCTGCGGAAGATACGAATACACTAGCTAAACTGCCGATCAATTGACCGTAGAATTGACTTCGAGGAGAAGCATGGAGTAGATGACCAGTTTTGAGATCTTGCATCAAGTCACCAGCTCTATGAGGGTCAGCTGCGTGGTCGGTGATGCAGCTAAATTTTAGGAACTAGCGGTGGGTCTTTGAGATACTGAACAGGGACTGTACATGAAGCTGGACAATCATGGGAACGGGGGAGGGGGGGAGGAGGGGGGAATCTGATAGGGCGGGAAGTGGAGGATAACTTACTGCTGAGCACCAGCTTCGGCCACACCCCCAGCAATGATATTGGCCACTACGTTGTTTGGTTGTAGAACCGCGAATAGTAATTGTGATATTTTTCCAATACCCGATACCTGACATCAGTCTTTTATACTGAGAATCTCGAAACCTCTGCACCGACTTCCAAGCCGCGAACTCGAGGGATTGCCAGGGAACCAGACTTAGCCCTCACCTCAGGACATTGAAAAAGTCGGACTCAGGTAGGGAAGGGAGGAGTAAATGAAACACAAAGGGGAAAAAGGAACAACTCACAGGGTTCAAATCCGTTTCTCCCAACGCACGAACACCGATCAAACTAAGTACACTAGCCAAAACCAACCCAATCGCCGTCGCCCACGGTCGTATCCCATCACTACCAAAAACATACCAAACCAAACCCACTCCCAATAACCCACTACCTCCTAAACCCCATTTGATCCAAGAAAACGGTACCAACCTCTCTGGTGGTTCGATCTCCGGATCGTCATCTTCGTCTGATAACGGTTCGAAATAATCCCCATCCATAGAGTTCCCAGGGGAAGAGGATTGAAATACTTTCGGACCGGTTTGACGTTGTTTGTAATGTCTTATAGAAGTGGAAATGTATGATATGGTGATTGGTAATAGGGAGATTATAGATTCGGCAATCATTATAGCTAATGCTATCCATAACTATCCCATAAGCTTGTGCGACGCAAAAAGGACCGAAACAAGCTTACGATCCATCCTCTTGCACCGTCATTGGTGGATGATACTTTTCCCGGTGCCCAACCCATATGTTTTGATAGAGGAGAGAGAATAGCCCATCCTACTAACATACCAGCGTTCATTGATAAAGTCACAGGGAAACCCATGATGATACCTTGACCAACGTATGAGAGCGAGGGAGTAAAATACCACATCCATTCAGAGGCGGGATAGGTACCGAATGGTAAACCGAGAAGGTCAAAGATAGGGATAGAGAAGATAATGGGAAACATAAAGCTCAAAAGCTGTCGAGTCAGCTTGACTGCATAATGGCTCGATAGCTGACCATACCGTCAATCCTCCACTAGCAGCAAAACTGATCCCTAAAACCCACCATCCAGAACCGCCCATTATGTCTTGTTCTTTTTCTTTATGGTTGTTAGCTGCTTGTTCTCCATTTATACCCCGCTCGCGAGAGAGTGACCGAGAAGAGCGTGATAGCGCACGGTACGCAACTGTGGGAGTTGCGAAACCTCGGGAAGGTGGTGGTGCTTTATGCAACAAAGCGATGAGTTGTGCCGTGGCAGCTGTTCATAAGCCTGGTTCATGAAGATAGCAAAGGGACATACTGCCAGAGGGAAAAACCAATTTCTCCTTGATGATCTGATCAATTAGCCCTCCTCATCTATACCTCTCTGGAAGTTGAGTAGACTCACGACTTGTCTTCGTAATGGTGCAGCTAAGAAAACCCTACATTGTCAGCTGTAGTCGGACGATAAGTATCATCTGGTGGAGCTTACCCGAAAAAAGCAACTGCACAATCAGTGTGAAGTCTTTATAAAAGAAACTCACTCACCGGCTAAACACCACAACACTAGGTTAACATAAGTCAATGAGATCGGTCCTCTACCATCCTGCTCCACAGTCATCATCTCCAAAGCTGGTATAATCCCCACCAACCCAGCGGCAAGAGGCATAGTGCCCGTAGCCACTGCCACCGTTTGTAAGATGACGTTTTCTTGCGGTGTGAACGTCCTGATACGAGGAAATAACCGTGGCAGGGCATCGGGAATGACTTTGAGTAGAGCAAAACCGACTAATGCTGATTGAAGTGCCATCATAGATACCCATCCTGACTATGAGCCATGACTCGACCAATTGCAGCTCACGACATTGTGACAGAGGATGAGAAGAGCGGTCTCACCTGATTGTAATCCTAGGTACAAGTTGGTAGCGCATATCAGCACGCTTGATGATCAGCTTTGAGCCTCCTGGGGGTCTAGCTGGAAATATAATTCACCAGAAGGAGTGATATTGGGAAGGACAAGACAGAAGAAATGCTCACCCGACTAAAAGCCCGGTAAAGACGGCTCGAAAGGTGAAATCACCTTCTATGACTTGATCTTCTTCCACTCCGTCAAATTCACCATTTTCCTCCTCCTCGTCTTCTGCCTCGAGTATCGCCGTTCTGGAATAAGTTGGGGAGCTGTAGTGTAAGCACCGTCCAGATCGATGAGGGTACGAGCAATCTCACATTGGGTCCATGATTCGCGGGAACTTTTACGCCGACCGAGTACAATACTAGACAGTGGTAGAAGGCTATGTATACAATGAGTTGGGCGAAGAGCACCCAGTGGGCCTCTTGGAGGCTTAAGTAGGAAGGGATTCAGTCGGGAGTAGGTAGTTGTGAGTGAGAATGAACGATGTAGAGTGGAGAAAGAGAAGAAAGAGGGGACAATCTTGGTCATGCGATCGGACCAAGCCGAAGTTGCAAGTCGTCTTATGATCTATGACTTGGTGCTCTTTCTTTCACTGTAACTCTTGACTCTCACTTCTTTGCCTTGTGACCTGATCAATTATCGACTGACGAGTGTTGTATTGTAACTGTAACGATCTCTGGAAGAATCACGCCACTCGAAAAAATCTACGCTTATCCGTCGTCTCCAATCCAACTCATGTCGATCTAAGTAGACCTCAACTTCGACCGTCTTTCCCCAACACCCCAAACCCATCTATCCCTATACCGAACCCTGTCAGCCTTGTATAAGTACCGAACCCACCAAGCTTCTTCACACCTTTCACAATTTTCACAATTTCCAACCTTTGTACCGTGGATGAAGCGTGAAATTAGCAACATAAACCAATCCACCATCGTATGTGACATACACCAACATCATTCCACAACTACGGTCATTTCATTGTCGTCAAAAAACTGAATCTCCCACCCCACCCACCCACAACATGCGTAAAGGAGCAGGTATATCAGCTTTATCTCGTCATACAATAACCTCAACATCTTATTCAAATTTATCAACATCACTTTCAACTCAACAATTGAATTCTTTACAATCTTCTCTTTCTCAATTCCGTGAATCTTTATTATTATTCGCACAAAAACATAAATCTGATATCCGATCTGATCCAGTATTCAGATATAAATTCCAACAAATGTGTTCTGCCATAGGAATAGATCCTTTACAATCTTCTTCTTCTTCTTCTTCTTCTTCGTCGTCGATGGGATTTTGGTCAAGATTAGGATTAGGTGAATTCGCATATGAATTAGCTGTACAAATTGTCGATGTTTGTATTTCTACCAGAGGTTTGAATGGGGGTATGATAGAGATGAATGATTTGATTAAAAGGATTGAAAAGATGAGAGGGATATCTAAATATCGTTTTCTTACTCAAAAACATCTTCAAGAATCCTCGGATGGGATGAATTTAGATGGTATAAAATTTAACAAGGATATCATTCGGGAAAAGAATGAAAAGGTCGATGAAGGGGAAAGAGTGGATAAATCGATCAAAGGTTATATAACATCACAAGATATAAAACAAAGTTTAAAACTTTTACAACCTTTAAAAGCTGGTTATTCTTTAATTGTTTTAGGTGAACAAACTTGGATAAGAAGTATACCCAAACAACTCGATATGGATCTTTCTCTTTTACTTGGAATAGCTACTGTTACCGGAGGGAAATTGACAGAGGGGAATGTGGGATCACAAACTGGTTGGGAAGAGATTAGGGTGAAAAGGGCTTTGGAAAATTGTTTAGATTCAGGTATGGGTTGGTTGGATGGGGTGGATGATAGCGTTTGGGTTTTAGCTGCGATGGAGGGGGAAAGTGGGTAACGGGGGTGTCGTAGAGAGAGAGTCACGGAGGGGGAGTTCGGCGAGAAATAAATTTGTGCGAGAAAGGCAAGAGGTGGGAGAACGATACGTGTCAAGAAGAATACCAGACAGAGAGAGTGAGAGTGGAGCATCCAAGCAGGTAGTGTGGAGAGATCTCGAGAGAGGAACGAATCAAGTCAAGACTCGAGAGAAGGAAAGAGACCGATGGGATTGTATGTACCGAAACGAAGAAGTAAGATTTCATTGCACGATGCATGATAATTCCCCCCCCTAGGACTCAGCTAATTTTATACTGATACAAGAATCATACTGATGGTTCATCAACAATGTAGGTATTGTATGTAGTCTGTGAAAGACTTTTGAAAAACACCAAATTGTCCATGAAGGGAAAAGAAGAAAAAAGAAAAGATGTTTTGATCAAACTTTGTTCACTAAATTTTATTGAAACCCCCTCTCTTTGATTTATCACTTCACGAGTCATTTCTTCTTTCCTCTTTTCTCTTTCCTTACTCCTCTTTGTCCGTAGACGTCATCTCCCGTGCTGTCTTCTCTTCCCTATTTCTTCATCTGATCATCGTCCCGATTATCCCAGTCTTTTGTCTCCTTTTTCCTTCTTGATCATCCACACTTCCTCTATCATATCTTCTTCCACACAAACCTTCCTCGATCTCGTATCCGTCCTCTTGAAGACCGTTTCTTCTTGAGCTTATAACTCGTTGTGGCCTGGTACAGGGCAGCTATGCTCGTCCATATTCCTCATCTCGATACACGTATCGATGTCACGACATCACGCCGTTGTCCAATATGATGAATCAAAATATGGCAATACCTAAGATCAATGACCAAAGATGATCTCAACGATGAATATCTGATTATCCCCTCACCAATACCAAGTCAACTATCGATGATCTTGATTCGGCGTCCAAGCTCTTTCCCTCTCCAACTGAAAAGATTTCCTTTCCCTCTCATCCGGTCCCGGACTACTCGGTGCACTCCCTCTAGAAGAATTCCTACTCCCATTCACACTTCCTTGAAAAGGACCTCTCCAAGGTGTTCCCCCACCCTGAGCGACCTGGGTACTTGGAGGAGAAACGAGTGTCTGATGTAAAGAATTTTGTGATCCTGGCATACTATGTTGTATCCAACTTGTAGGTCTTGAATGTTGACCAGAAGCAGAACCAGGACTTGGACCCCTGAATTGACTTCCTTGACCTTGACCTTGTCCTTGACTTATAGGTCCATTGGAACCTACATTTATACCTTGGAGAACGGTAGTATTCCCACTATCTAGACTTGCCAAAGTTCCATCTGAACGATGTACACTTAAACGAGGATCACTACTTCTTCCTCCCATACCTCCCGTTCGAGAAGGTCCACGAGCTTGCATATATTTAGAACAATGTCGATGAATTTCTTTGGGTGGTAAATCCAGTTCTTTAGCGAATATATTGAAAATGTTTTCCGTGATGACAAACATTAATTCTGATGGGACATGATAGAAATCATCTTGAGATTCGAGAAGTTCTTGTACGGCTTGAATACCGATGAAAGATTCATCTTTCGCTGCGTTAACACCTTTTGCGTAAAGGATAGAGGGGGTGATGACAGTGGCGAGATTAGGTAGATCCATCTTAGATCCGGTCTCTTCGTCGCGATAGGAGAAAGAGGCTACCCAACGGAGAAAGACGAAGAGGACTTCCATCGTGTCTCTGTTGGAACGAGGTAGGAGGGTGACGAGGAGGTGAAGACATCGTCGACGGTCGTCAACGTTTTGCAGAGCTATAATCAGCGAATGGCCATATGTTCGGCATGGAGCACCTCGCCCCTCTTTCAAGCATCCCATCCTCACTCATGCCAGATCACGACGTCTGTCTCCACGTCCATTGCAAGTCAATCAAGGGAATGGCGACGAGAGACAGTGAGGATCAGGAGACTAATCGGGTCGCTGACAGATTGAAAAGCGCTGGGATGGGAGCAGGCAAGATAGGATCAAACAAGACGAAGGGGAATGAGTAGAAATGATGTGAATGGCAAACTTGGTCAACTCACACGCTGCAGCACAAAACAACTTATGAAGTCGGAAAGTCAACAAAGGATCCGGTAACTCCCTCAAAAACCTCTTCAACAAAGCCGCCAACTGCACGGGGTTCTCCTCTGACAAATTGACATTGGCAGAATCTTTATCCAGAGCCTCGGACAATTGTTGTAACCGACGGATATTCCCATTTTTCCTGAAGATACCTTCTACGGCCATATCTGTAAATCAGCATCTCTTATCCAACTACCTGTTCACAGGATCGTATCTGCCGCAGTAAAGACTCGAGATGTCAAAAGTGTCCGTGAGATCTCAACATGACTACTGCCCATCTGTGTATCGAAATCCGTGCCAGGCTTCGACGAGCTACGTGTTTTGAAACAAAGTTTGTGGTCAAAATCGTATCAATCTTCGACATGTCATCTGCCGAAGAGAAGTCGGTGTCAAATTTCGCTCGTCGGTGTAAAGATTGAGAGTGGGAATAAAAAGAATCGAGATGAAGAACCTCGACTTACCCATTTGTCTCATGGTAGAGATGATATCCTCTATAATCTCTGGTACTCGTAGATGAGCGTTCGAAGCTCCTAATTGAGAGTCTGAACCTGTCTTTTCGACCAATACTTCTATCGGTACGCCAAACACTCCTGAACGTCAGTCTCATCCAGAACACTTCCACTGTCATGGAGACAAATTTGGTGCATTCATCAACATGGTGACCTCATTGCAAGAGATATGAGAACACGAGAGAAGGATTTGTAATCAACGGACAGAGACGAGACCAACACCGATCGAGAAAGTAGTAGCAAAGAAGAACACGAGAGGGGGATTTGAAATCAACGGACATAGGACAATTCCGATCAAGAAAGTAGCAGCAAGGAAGAAGAATGTACTCCTACACTCACCTTTCTTTTTCTGATCCTTTTTCGCATTTCCCTTGAAAATCTTATTCCACCATTGACCTTTCCTAGCATCTAACAACTCCAACACATCATCCAACTCTATCAAATGACCAATCCCAGTTTTCTGTAATTGAAGCAGAGCGAAATGTCTAATGATCAAACTTTGTAACAAGCTTAAATCACTCAACAAAGGTCTTCCATCATATCCATGACTCCTACTTTGATCCGCTAACATTGGTATATCACCAAGAGTGATAGCATCGTCTTCAGGAACCATCCTAGTCGCAGCTAAAGATTCCAAAGTTCGATCGTATTCTCCTGGTTCGTTGACAATCATAACGCTGGTATTGTTTCTCGCGAAAGGAGGACGTAAGACGTCTATGGATGTTTGTACTGGTGGATCATCTGTATCGTATGAATCGGCGATATCGGTAGAGATTGATAGTGATGAAGGTTGAGTTTGAGGTTGAGTGGAACGGGCAGAAACAACGGTTCCATTTGCGTTGGCCATTCTACCTGCTGGAGATTCAACTACGGTTGATCGTTGTGGTATACGGGCTGTTGAAGAAAGTTTACGATCGAGAGTGACGGATTTCATTCTTTTGACTTCCATATCCGCTCGTCCGATGACGGTGGGGTCTTCGATATGTCTCCCTCGAACTGAAAGTGAGTATGTGCACGGGACAGGTCGCGTCAATGCGTTGCTTCATGAACAACATCATGGGTGCGTGATACTCGTCGAAGCGGGGCAGAGAGGAGAGGAGAGACGGAGGGAGAGGCAGCTGAAGAGAGAGATGGAGGGAAAGACTGAGAAGGAGACACAAGGAGAGACAGAGAAAGTGGAAAGGAGAATCACTCACCACTCGGCAAATCATGATGTATCCTAAAATGAACATACAACCTCCTCAAAGCTATATGTAATAAAAAAGCATATTGTTCCAACCTTGACACACTCGCAAAACCCAATTGACTGGAAGCCGAACGATGATCCTGACAATAAATAACATCAGGTGGTTCAGATCTTCTACTAGCAACTTCGTAATAAAACTCGTCAACTCTAGGTTGTTGTCGTTTTGGTGATTTGCTCGGACGAGATCCAGATGAAGTTTCTTCGGAAGATTTTGAATCAACTTCTTCAATGATAGCACCGATAGCTTTTTCACCACAAACCATACAATCGACACACGCGCAATGCCAGCGGTTGAACATTCCGAGTCGAATACAATCTTCTTCTATGGCAGCACGACAGACTGCACATCCTTCTGGAGGTATATAATCTTCGTCGTGTGGTCCACGAAGAGTTGTTTCGCCTGTCACTTCGGACTTTTTTTCCGTCAGCGTCGTCCAGCAACGGGGGTCATCAAGCAATAGAGAGGGTATTCAAAGGAGGGGCCTTTTACTTCTTTAGCTTAGGGAGGGGCATGTATCCAAGGACATGGTACTGATCCCGTAAATCGATCCTCATCCCAAACCAAAACCACGGAATGGCTTTCGTAGTGACGAATGATGAGGGGAACGGAAGGGGAGGAGGAGAGGAGAGGGGTACGGAAGAGAAGAAAATAAAGGTAAGATGCCCTGAGGAGAGGAGAGAATAAGGATAACTCACAGCAAGTGATCGATAACCATAAGCTATACCTTGTGTACTAGGTATATAGCCTTGTGGTTTTCTAGTCAAAGCATCTATAGATTTCCTGATTTGATCTTCATCACTCAACATAGGCTGGGTATCTTGATGATCCTTCTGTGACGATGTCGAATCAGGATAATCACCACGTTTCACTACAGTAGCATCTGAACCATCCATAGCCAACAGATTCAATCTTCCTAAACAATTGGTCATCGCTGTTGGATTTGATAAATCTCTTTCTAATTTGATAGAGCCTGTGAGAGCTATACGAATCAAAATCTTGAGATAATGGGCTAATTGAGTGATTAGATTGAAAAGTTCTTGATTATTCGGGACTACTGAAGAACCATTTGGAGATATTTGAGACATCATCGAGAATAGGTTGACTAATTTTCGACAAAGTTGTTTGGCTTCTCTTGCGTGTGACATACCTTATGGTCAACCATCTTCCTCAATTGCACTCTCTTTCTTAGACCCTCTGTCTCCCTTCACATTCCCCCCCCTGCGATCAGACGTTCTTTGGTCTTTGCATGATATCAATTGAGATGTGAATACTGGCTGCGCCTCCCTGATTGAATTAAGAATCTGTGGAAGGGAAGTTTTGAAGGACGGTGATAAGAGAAGGGTTGAACTCACCTTTAGCGCCTGCCAAAGCGAACTGGGCTTCCAAATCATCAATCACAGCGAACAAAGCCTCCACATGCAATATGAACCTCTCAGCAAGTAAAATGATATCCAACAATTGTCTCCCGTTGACAGCTCTTAACATGTCTCCAATGAGAGCCGCGGAACTTTCTTCGTATCCCGATAACACATGCCAAATCTGTTGAACCTTCATCTCCATAGCTTCCTGACGCTCTTTCAACTCTTCGGGCGTCATGGAGACTTCTGAATGCGGACTGGCGCTCAAAGTTGTCGGCGGTGATCCTGGGGTGAGACCGGGTGTGGTTGATGATCGAGGTGTCATTTCGAGTAATGAGACAGTAGAATTGACGGCGGAAGAATTGGGAGTAGTGAAGTTTTTCGAGGCTAGTCGGACGTTCCAGAACTAAACCTGTTAGCGCGGGATTCATTTCAAGAGCACAAGTCAAGAGCAAATGTCATGAGTAGTACACAGGGGGAATGACGTGGGAGGGATATGTTAGTGAAAATGTTGAATGGGTGAGGAGGGAGTTACCTTTGAAATCATGTAACATTCTGGATGCCAACATTCATCCTTGCCATTTCTGTTCATTTCCACGAATTGCTTCAATATGGCCGTTTCGCAACCAACGCATTTAACAGCAAACTTTGTGGAATAATGATAGTGACAATCTTTTGTCAGTTCCCCTCCTGCACAAAACTTGGCCACTCACAGACACGACCACCATGTTCATAATAACTATCGTTTGGACCAAACACGGTGTCACATTCTGAACATGTGAAATGTTCGACGTGAAATTTCATCCCTACTTATAAGTATATAAAACTCGTATATTAACAGAAAATGTCGGGGTGTAGGTGAATAGACAACTTTGCCCTCGGAGTGTGGACTAGGAGGAGGTGGAAGGGAAGACGTACCACAGGCTGTGATGTAGCTTGACCGCAGGGCTTGATTGCATTGCGAACAGATGAGGTCCAAGCGGGCGAAATAGTCTCTTTCGCATAAAGGATATTGTCCTTCTTGATCCTCTACAGGGAAGAATTTCGTAGCGACGACTTTGTTACAGTCCTGATAAATTCAGCAACATACTCCTCTGCCTTTCCCACATGTCTCAATCGTGACTGAAATCTATACTTGTACGATATATATAAGAAAATATGGACGAGAACAAAGGTAGAAATGGGTAAAGAAAAAAAAACATTTTCACCCACCTTGCATCGGAAACAATCCAAATGATAAACTTTCTGTAAAGCTCTGACAAATTGACCATGAACCGGTTCCCCACATTGTCCACAATAAGCCACCGGTTTCCCACTCCTTGTTTGAGTTGTCATTGGAGTTGAAGCAAGTTGATTACCTTCTTCCTGTATTCCTGTCTTCTTCAATCCATTAGGCGTTGGATTACCTATTCCACCTGCTTTTCTCTGTTCCTCGACCTCACTAATAGACGACGTCCTCGGAGGGATAGGGATCGTAGGAGGAGAATGATTATCCCTTGGTCCTGTCGGACTAGGTTTACGAGGATGAGGAACAGGCAGAGGTATTATTGAATTTCCCAATGGACTCGGATGATTAGAGTTTGAAGCTATATTGGGTCGATGATCCGTAGGAGAATTAGAAGGGGAAGAACGAGAAGATTGACCACCTGTTCTTTGTGTCCAAGGATCTGGTGAAGAAGAAGAACGTAATGGACCTGATCCATCACTGATAGGAAGTTTCAAAGGTCCATTGATTGGTGCACTTTGTGGACCTGATTTCCCATCTGAAATGAATGAAGAAGGTCCTGCTGAAGTTGTTGTTATCCTAGGTAATTTACCATGTTGAGATTGGTTATTACCATTTATAGACGCGTTTACGTTTTTCCATCCTTGACCGCCATCTCTATCAATTGGGATCGGATGACGGGATGAAGATGCTGTTGGTGAATGAGGTTGAGAATGTGAATGTGAATGGGATGAAAGTGGTCTGTCAAAGGAAGATCTAGGTGATGTTGTTAATGTGGACACGTGGTGAATGCTCACGGATGATAGAGGACGATTGGAAGATTGAAGAATGTTGGTATGAGGGGAAGACATCTTTGAACTGATTCCAATATGGAATTGTTGATTGGGAGATATCTAAAAGTCTGAATATTGATTATGGATTGATAGATTGGTAAGACGGAAAGAAGGTTTGACTGGCGGCGTTGACGAGTTGGACGATGGCGCGTGTTACCAGTACCACTTGCTTTGAGTATAGAATCGCCCAGGTTGGTAGTTTGGTCCAGAAGGGATAGTGTATACGAAGGTAGTGATCCTTTTGGTCGACACGTATCACGTAGAAGTGAAGGACACGTGTAGTTTTGTACACGGGGGGGGGATGATTGAGTCAAAGAAGGTAGAGTACGACGGTAAGATTGGAAAGAAGGGGAGAGAGGTGAGTCGGACCACTGGCCACCTGAGGGGTCTGGACTACCGAGAGTATGGGTCGGATTGGATGTAAGTATGAATGGAAAGGGGGGTGACGTTGAGCAAAGTGTATGAGAAGGATGAGTTGATGGATGGATGGATGGATGGATGGGTGTGAGGGTGTGAGGGGGGGTGTCAAGGGGGTGTCAATCCAATATTCCCTCCGTGGCTGCTCTATGGCGGAGGGGGAGTAAGGGGGAATTATGCCCAATTGTCAGGCTGGCCCGCGTTTTCGATTAGCTTACTTACTGCTACAAGCTACTTACTACTTTAACATCTACAGTGTTATTGTAACGACTGTATGAGACAGCCCATGTGAGACAACACAAACGTTCACTTTACATGCACTTGATCAATCACCACCTCGACATAGTACTTTTGCTACATACAAAGCGACACTGGTACGGCTACAAGACACAATCACACACACACATGATACCAATCCACAAAGCTTGCCCCTCACTTCCACCTCATGTTCCCACATTTGATTTCGGATCGTACGTGACTTGCGAATATACACTCGGTTCACTCTGTTCATCCTCCAACACAAACACGCTACTCATCGCCGCTAGAGGTGTATCACTAGGCGAAGCTGGATGAACGATTGTCGTTGGGAATTCCACTTTACGCGAAGGATCTCCTTTTTTAGTTGGTGAATAATCCGAACGAGGTGTATTGGAAAGAGGATCATCACCACTGACAACACCCATTCCATTCCCTCTACCCTTCTCATCCAAAATTGTCAAAGATGATCTTCCAAACTCTTTCCTCTCTTCTCTCGTTCTATTCAATTCTTCCGATTTCCTCCTGTAATACTCCATTGACTCTTTATTAAAACCTAATCCAACACCACCAACAAATTGACTACCTGTTCTTTGACCGGATATACCAGGAGCGAAATGTGATGCCGTTGGAGAGATACGATGACTAGTTTGAGTGACCATTTGTTCAGCTTCTCTAACTGTGACTCTATCCGTCGTTTTATAATCATCACCATCTTTATTTGCTGCTTGTCTATCTCTTAACATTCCTTCACCTGAAGTAGTCCTCGTACGTCTACGTGGACCCCATCCATCATCTTGTTCATTCGTATCTCTGAAACGTAATGGTGATAAATGTGGTGGACCTTGTGATCCGACTGTTGGAGGACTAGAAGGAGCAGGACTTTCTTTTAGTTTCCCTTTTCCTTTCCCTTTACTTTTCTTAGTTTCTTGTGGGGTTTTGTCTTTCCCTTTCACACCCTTATTCTCTCCTGTCATCTTTTCCCCTTTCATAGGTGTCAATTCTATATTTTCTTTCTCATTATCTCTTCCCTTCTTGCCTCGATTTCTTCCCGAAGTATCAGAAGCATAAGAAGCTGTAATACTCGTTATTGATTCCGGTACTTCTGAACGAGCTATAGAATCACCAATGGTCAATTCTTCACCCGCGACACTTGCACTTGATGCTAATCGATGAAACCCTATCAATTGCGTTTCTCCAGGTTTATTCGAATGAAGGTTTCGCTGAATAGCATAAAGTTGACGAAGATCGTTCCTATCGTAAACTTCAAAACCGGGATGTAAAGTTTTTCGAATTTCTCTTGGGATCGCGGTACATTTTCGTTGAAGGATGTATAGATGAATTCCTTGGATAATGAAGATGATCATTTGGACAGCGGTAGCTGTGAATGCTACGATTGCGAATCTTCTCTCGTATGGGCTACACCATTTTAATGTTCCTGTAGCGCATATGGCGGTCCACAAGCTGAGTTCGACTGAAAGTCAAATTCATCACTATTGAATCAAAGATTTACTCACTGGTGAGGGGTACACAACTGACGCCGAGATAGAGATAAATGGGTCGGACGAAATGTGTCGAATTCCAATTCTCAGTGAGGGTCATGTATCTTCTGTTATTCTCAGTAAACTGACCATTGATTTACCCTGACAGTCATGCGAGTAGAGAGTACGAAACCATAGCAAGAGCTAGGGAAAGAAGGTGAAGATAAGGGGATTATTGGGAGTGAAAGATAGTAGAATACTCACGTGTCCATGGTCATACGAGAAAACCATATGGATGGAATGGGAAAATTGGTCAGACCAAAGACCGGTAAAGACCTCCATAAACGATTATATGTCAAGTTGGCTTTGATAATGAATATTAGGATCGTTGCGCTCCAGAAGAAAGATAAGACCTAATGGTGTCAGTACTCAACTGATATGAAAGTTATCAACTCCACTGACAAGACAGAGGTTTGACGCGGGACGGAGAAAGAGATTGGGGTTGAACTTTGCTTTTGACCAATCGAACATAGTAGGGGATTCAGGCATGATGGAGGGATGAACAGGTGAAGGAGGCTAGGGTTGAAAAGGAGTAGGATCAACGATGAAGGGAATGGGACGGGGAGAGATGAATGGCTGGAGGGAGGGTGGGGAGGAATGAGTGGATATGCTCACAGTTCAGAAGGTGGGTGAATATATGACGGCATGATTATTCTACCTCTCACGTACATCGGTGTACGGTGTTCAGCTGCAAGTGAGTCTCAGGATCCTAGGGCCCTCTTGGGTCTGTGATACATCACCCTACGGGACCTCCCAGGCTGCAGGAGACCCGAGGGATGAGTGCCTCTGCTGGCTGCTGGCATGATGCGATCGGTAAGCCATCGTAAGGATCGTAAGTGTTGAATACATGAGTGGTTTCTTCGAGTGGCATTGTTGTATGTTATTGGCTTGGGATGTGGTGCCATGCCGCCATGGCAATTATACCTGATGGTGAGCAACATGGCAACATACAATTTGTCCTGTAAGTATCATCCAACGTTTGGAGAGAGACATCTTTTTCTACTTACTCACTCTGAGTGATCACGTGACCATTTCCTATACCAACTCTACTCGACATTCCTCCTCGCGACCATCTTTCCATCTTTCCATCCATTCATCCTTTCTCCCTCTCCACCACTCGGCATAACACTCACAGTGATCCCTCGTGTCCTCGCATCAGCGAGGTTCAACAATATCCCCCTTGTTCGAACTTCTTTGTCTACTCTGCATATTCATCCTCATAATCACCTCAATATGGGAGCCGACTCCAAACCCGTTGTCCCCAACAACCCCCCTCATCCTTGGCCCTCCCCCAAAGATTGGCCCGCTTCCAAAGTCCGTCAAACGTTCATTGATTACTTTGCTCAACAACCCGGATTTGAACACACTTTCTGGCCTTCTTCAGGTGTGATACCTTTCGAAGATGATACTCTCCTCTTTGCAAATGCCGTGAGTCTTTTTTAGTCATCTTCTTGTCTTGACTGATGCATGTATAGGGAATGAACCAATTCAAACCCTTGTTCTTGGGAACTGCTGATCCTAAAAGCGAACTTAGTAAATTACATCGTGCCGTGAACAGCCAGAAGTGTATTCGAGCAGGTGGCAAGCATAATGGTCAGTCGAGTTCGAGTCGATATTCCATTTTCTGAAGGTCCTTTGGTCCTCGACTGCTTATGTCGGTCGAGATGCTGATGTGTGAATAGATCTAGATGATGTGGGCAAAGATACTTATCACCACACGTTCTTTGAAATGCTAGGAAATTGGTCATTCGGTGATTATTTCAAGGTACGTTCAATCAAAAACATGGGTTTAAAGGTGTTGATTCAATAGATTGGAGCTTTGACGATGGCTTGGGATCTTTTGACTAGAGTTTATGGTCTACCTAAGGATCGTTTGTATGTCACATACTTTGAAGGAGACGAGAAACAAGGTTTAGAACCGGATAATGAAGCAAAGTGAGTTCATCATAAGTACTTGAGGAAGAGGCTCATGCTCGACAGAGAAATATGGAAGCAACTTGGAGTACCGGAAACCCATATTCTCACTGGGAATGCCAAAGACAACTTCTGGGGTACGTAAACTTGCTCTTTGCGAGTACTTTGGTTGACAAGTAGAAATGGGTGCGACAGGGCCCTGTGGTCCATGCAGGTTAGTTGAGTTGTGGAGGTTAATCTTAGCTGACAGGTAGTGAGATCCATTTCGATCGTATCGGTGGTCGTGATGCCTCCCACCTTGTCAACGCCGATGATCCTAACGTTTTGGAAATATGGAACAACGTGTTCATTCAATACAACAGAGAATCCTCCGGAGCGTTACGAAGTCTTCCCGCCAAACATGTGGACACGGGCATGGGTTTCGAACGTTTAGTATCAGTCCTTCACAACGTGTCATCCAACTACGACACCGACGTTTTCACCCCCATCTTCGCCAAAATACAAGAGCTCACTGGTGCTAGACCATATACTGGGAAATTAGGAGATGAAGATAAAGATGGAGTAGATACAGCCTATCGAGTCATTGCGGATCATATAAGAACACTCACCATCGCCATTTCAGACGGTGGAGTTCCTGATAAAGATGGAAGAGGTTATGTTCTCCGGCGGATCTTGAGAAGAGGAGTGAGATATGCTAGTAATAAGATGAACGTCAAAATTGGATCTTTTTTCTCTTCTTTGGTTCCCACGGTTGTTGATAGTCTGGTAAGATTCCATCACACAACTTTACAATATAGGGGGATTGGCTGATGAATAGAGTGGGATTTTTCCGGAAGTGACTAAACGTATTCCAGAACTCATCGAGATTCTCAATGAAGAAGAAGCTTCATTTGCACGTACGTTGAATCGAGGTGAAACGTTATTCAGCAAATACGCCGCGATCGCCGCTCAGGAGAAACGTACCGTTTTGAGTGGTAAAGATATTTGGAGATTGTATGACACTTATGGATTCCCAGTGGACCTCACACAGATAATGGCGGAAGAAAGGGGTTTGAAGATTGATCAAGTAGCCTTTGAGAAAGCACGTTTGGAATCTCTAGAAGCAAGTAAAGCTGGAGGTAAAGCAGCAGGAGGTGTACAGATTAAGTTGGACGTGCATGATTTGGCAGCGTTGGAGGAAAATGCAGATGTTCCTAAGACGGACGATTCGGCGAAGTATCGTGAGTTTGTTTTGTATTTTTTCGCGTCCTCATCCGTCAACTCTTTTTCCTGCTTCGCTATCCGCATTCCGGCCCCTTTTATCATGATGTCAGTCATCATTCCCTTTTCCTCGAATCTTCACTCAACACATAATGACGCATCCGCTGTCATCGTCTCGTCCAGAGACAACTCAGCTGACGAGAAGAACTGGACGACATCGAAGCCACGGTTAAAGGTATTTATTACCAATCCAAATTCCACCAATCGACATCGGAACTTCCTCCCAACGTTCCTTTTGGTATCTTACTCAACAAAACGAATTTCTACGCAGAGTCAGGTGGACAGGAGAATGATACCGGTGTTCTTGCTATTGATGGTAAAGCCGAATTCAAGGTCGAGGACGTGCAAGTGTACAACGGATACGTTCTGCATGTGGGGCAAATGGAAGAAGGGGAGATTAAATTAGGTGACGAGGTTATCTGCACGTATGATGAGGTGAGTGCAAAAGAATCATTTAACCCTTCACTCTCTCACAAGCCCAGATGCCTCATCTTTATGATTGAAGGAGGAGATGTTCAGAAGTTGATACAGTAGCTTCGACGATGGCCTATCCGAAATAATCACACTGGCACACATATCCTAAACTTTGCCCTCCGTGAAGTTCTCGGAGATCATATAGACCAAAAAGGTTCCCTTGTCGCACCTTCCAAACTCCGCTTTGATTTCTCTCACAACAAGGCCATCTCGGTAGATGAGATTGCTAAGATTGAAGCCATCTCCAACGAGTGGATCAAGAAAGCTGTACCGGTGTACGCTAAAGAGATGTCGTTACAGGCTGCATACAAGATTCCAGGATTGAGAGCGGTATTTGGGGAAGCGTATCCTGATCCAGTGAGAGTGGTCAGTATCGGATATCCTCTGGAGGAGATTTCTCAAAATATTGAAGATACCAAATGGCGTAGTACTAGTATAGAGTTTTGTGGAGGAACGTGAGTTGGCTTGTTTCTTCTTAACCCTCCTGACTTGTTCTTGCCTCGTTTCATTCGATCCTGAACACCTCTTTCTCTTGTCTGACCTCTGTTTGCTAAAGGCTCCGCTATAATTTGGTATATGAAATTGATTCCTGTGTTATAGACTGATGATCAGACATGTGGCTAAAACAGACGATATCAAAGATTTTGTCATTATTGAAGAATCTTCAATCGCCAAAGGGATCCGACGTATTGTCGCTGTGACAGGACATGATGCTAACGATGTTTCTCGTCGTGGTTTAGAGTTTGAACGACGGTTAGAGCGGATTGAAAGTATGCAAGGTAAGGAGAAAGAAACATCCATGAAACCTTATTTGGCGGTGAGTGAAACCTCCCCCACCCCAAACAATAACCCAACTCGCTTCTATCTCACAGATGCGCACATGCTTTCCGTCCTCTTCACATCGAAGGATACCAGTCGTCATTCCCCAATCCCAACCACCTACGGACATCTCGTATGAACGGAATGATAATATTTACAACTCATGACAATGGCTCATAATATCAGGAACTAGGTCAAAGTGGTATTTCCCTCGTCAAACGTCATTCCCTTCAAAGACGATTCGACAAACTCTCTTCCGATCTCGCTGCAATAACCAAAACCCGTCTAGCGGCTGAACAAAAACAAGTCTCAGAAGAAATCAAGACTTTCTTCCTTGAAAACCCTAACGAAAACGTTTACGTAGGTATTTTCGGTGTAGATGGTAATATCAAAGTACTCTCCGCTGCTGTAACGTCTACTGGAAGAACATTGTCCAAAGCTATTTACGCTTTCTCTTCGGAGATCGATACGGGTAAAGTCACACATGTGAATTATGTACCTAAAGAAATATTGGATAAGAAGAGTTTGGATGCTAAAGTTTGGTTGAGTGAAGTGAGTAAGGTTTTGGGTGGAAAAGGTGGTGGAAGGGATGATTCCGCTACTGGCGTAGGGGTGGAGGGAGGGAAGATTGAAGAGGCTTTGAAAGTTGCCAAAGAGGTTTATAAGAGTAAGGTGGAAGGTAAGTGAGGGAGTGTTGATAAGGTTTGTCAAAATAATTTATGGTAAGATGCATGACATGACATGGTGAATCAACACATTGTACTGATTTGTACTACAAAACTCTATCTAATGTCTTACTCTACTTCCTTTCATGCGACTTTAAGCGGTAAGCGATAGATAGGATAGATGTACCTCAAGTAGGTTGGGAAAGTGAATCACACGAACAAGAAGGCATCATACAAAAATAGGGGAGATAAGGGGTAAGGAGTAAGGTTAGGGTATGTAAAGGTGAAGAAGATTTAAATCTGGGATCCATCTAAGCTCTCCTAATCTCAGATTTAATATCATTTATCCCAACCGGTAACCCATTAATCTCATCATAATCATCCCATCTACCATCCTCAAATTCAACTTCGAATTCTTGTTTCTTCCCTTTCCCTTTCCCATTCCTATTCCCTTTCCCTCTTCCACCCCCTTCCCCTTCACCTTCACCTTCCTCTTCTACTTGGACATCAGGTCGACATTTCCATTTCCCAACAAAATGGAATTTAGTAAATTCTAATCCTCTACAATCAAGTGATATCAAAGTATCCCATTGACCGGAAGTCGTATAAGGTGTTGGGGAGATAGATTTCGAGGGAGGAGTAGGGATTATAGAAGCTGTATTTTCTTTCTGAACGTTAAATCTCATCTCCATTTTTGTTCGAGTAAGTATTTTTGAGATGATACTTCTACTCTTCTGAGGACAGTGACTCGGAGAAATGAGTAAGGACGATAAGACTTTTCATTCGATGTTTGAAATAACAGTTCTTTATTCCTTGATCCTGATGTTTCCAACGTGTGATTGGGGTGGACTCGAGGTGTTTTTGGTATGATGAAGAGAGAAACAAATGGGCGATAAAACCATTTCCTCAGAAGAAGAAAATCGGTGGGGTTTGATTGTGTAACAAGTAAAAGAATGAACACGAGTATGATAAGTGAGATGGTGAAGATAAGAAAACGAAGGATGAACTGAAGGTTTGAAGGTTGATTACTTCAGGGACAGACTCGACTTTTAACAGGTGTTTGAACCCAGGATTCTATACACACGGTTCAGGATTCAGGATTTAAGATTTAGGAGTTTGGTAGAGGACTTTTGACCTATGCGTCATGAAGGTAATGAATAGCTTGAATAATGGTGGCTGGAATATGAAGTATTGGAGGATTGAATTTTGAATCCAAAGAAGTCACAACAGACCCACTTTACAATTATGACAACGCCAAACGAAATTCGCATGACCTCTAGAACCTGTTATTTCCACTTCATCCTTAACGTTGAAAGATATTGTATTCGGATGAGTTTCTCGACAATTAGAACACATGACCTAAACCATTAGAGTTTTTTTTTTTCGGTCCCATTCATCTTTTCAACGTTTCATCATCGTAATTGACTTCATTCCGTCTGGTATAATTTATCTCTTTCTTTTTTTCTCAACTAGAGTATGTTCGAAACTTGGCTTGATAGAGGTTATCATGGCCATCGATCTACTCCGACTTGGACTTGGAAGTCACCTGGGATTGTCATACACCTCAAAAGTCTCTTGGGGACTTGTATCGAGAGTGGAAACGAAGAATAATGATGTGGATTGAGATGATGTTGATACATGGCGGATCGTGGAGAACTCACAGTGAAGAAATATTGAAATTCTTCTTCTGCAGGAACGACTTCTGTGACTCCTTCTAATTCCATTGAGATCATTACTTTTAATTTCTGTTTTTCAGTGTCAGTATCGAGCATAAGCTCTGGTGGAAACTTACCACCATGTTGGTTGTTAGGTTTGTAGAACAGGATGAGTATACCAGTAAGGATGTGAAAGTGTACAGTAGAAGTATGAAGGAAAGGGAAGGAAAGGAAAGAAGTTTGGGGTGATGACATCATGTCGGTTTACGAGTTTTAGATTTCTAGATCTCAAACCGCTTCGCATATCCGCATCATCATCAACTTCATGCGACATGCGACTTGCAACAATATGAACATGACCGACAACGGTGAGACAGTCAAAACACTATAAGCTCTTCCTCCTTTTCTCCCACTCTTTGACCCAATTCACTACTTCCTTCCAATCCTTAACCCTCTCAACTCCGTCGGGTGTCCAACCAATTTCAATAGCTTTCAACCTCTTCTTCTCAAATTCCTCCTGCAACCCTCTCTCTTCTCTCTCGACATAAGTCAGCTCTTCCACACCCTTCTCTCCTTCTTCCTGAGGCTTTGACAAGTCACCTTGTCCGTTGATACCCTCAGGACGACCCGACTTTGAAGGCCACACCACACTATTCCACGGATAATCACCAAAGAGCAACACTTGCACAGGTGGATTGGCACCGGCGGCATCGGCGGCATTCTCAGCAGAATCATCTATGAGGAACAATGCCCCGGTTTGATGTACTACTTCAGCTTTGGTCCTTTTCTTATGTGATACAACAGCTTTGTGAGCTGCGTGACCTTCATGTTCTTCCCGTGTGGGCGCGAGGTGGGTAAAAGCTCCTGTGAAATGCATTTCGTCAAAGACTAAATTGACGATTAGCATGGTGATCTCTTCCCGTCAAATCCCACCATCCTGTCATCTTCATACACCCAACATCATGGAGAGGGTTTAAGTAATCGGTGAGGTGAAAGAAGAGAGATGAGAGGGAAGCGATGAGTAGAACGACGAGGAAATGAAACTCACTATCTGGCAAATGCTCTGCTAACCAATCTTCCGTCCCTTCTCTCTGCGCCTCATCTCTAGCAGTGATAATCACCAACCTATAACCCATCTCTTTAAGTCTTTCCAATCCCTCTTTAGCACCTTTCACAGGTAGAGATCGGGCGTACAAACCGGCAGCTTCAAGCTCTTTGACCATACGTATGGTCTCCTGTGGTGTTCCCCAACCTCGGTTGTTCCAATAAAGATATTTCTTGAAATCGTCTAGTGTTATAGGTGGTTGAACGTCGTAGAAAGCGTTGTGCATTTCAACTATGGTTGCGTTTGTCTGACTGAGGTGTAAGTAGCGTTCTTCGTAGACCACGGCCCGGTCAGGTGTAAAAGACATAAGTACAGTACTTACCTTAAAACATCGTCCATATCCACAGCTATTGTACCCTTTGACGGTCCTGCTTTAGGAGTTTCCCACCCGTCGGCAACATTGACAGTGGTCATCATTACTATACTATACTTGTACTTTGCTTATCAACTAGAGGGATCAACTGTGATGTAATGAGAAGACGTAGAGTGGAAGAGAAGCTGTATTTGTACTTGTATTGTATGAAACACACGTTTTGCAACTCCGATTAACCCTTTGTCTTGGTCGTCGATCGTCGGATAACAACCACGCGATAAGTTGATGTTTATCTTTTCCTTCCATCTTGTCTTCTACCTTATCTTCATACTACACTCATGTTCTGTTTTATTTACTGACTATACTCTTAGCAAGCTTCAGGAATCATCTACTTGGGGACCATTTTACCCTTCTGTCTGGTGAACGACTCAGTAGTAGAGTTGTAGTAGTAGTGATGGTAGTGGTCAAAGAACAACCGGTTGCTCCTGACATTCGCTTGTTTTCAACATCTGATGATCCTTTCTTCCACTCAGCTTTTCTTCTCTTTCTCCTCTTTGCCCCTCCATCCTTATCCCTTCACTCGAATACCACGCTTTTTTCACTCCCTCGATCATGCTACTGACTTTCTCATATTACGAACAAGTACTTGCTCAGGCTTCACTTCGGACCGCACATGCGAACCCATCAAGTATTCACGTACTACCGCGGCTCATGATATAACCTTTCTGACCTCCCTCAAGCTTTCCGATGTCAACATCACCCATCAAAACATCGGACCCTTTCCCGTTAAACCTTCACATGACTGATCAGACATCTCGGTGTGCATGTGCCATCCGAGCAGCCACTGACCGGTAATGATGACCGACCGCTCAGATCTTACGCCAAGTTACCAAACCCAGTTCAAACATGTTCGCAACGTCCCCGATACCCCGTGAAGCATCCTTTCATCTCTTGTACGGTCGCGTCTAGACTTGCTAACCGGCTTGGCAAGATTTCTCCTCTCAAGAGTGATTACGATATATAAAATTCATCATATTCCCATTGACCGACACCCCCCCCCCCCCCTTCCCCTTCTTCATCCCTCGTCTTTTCCTGCCATCCTGATCCTTCAATATTGGACGATGCCGTGGAACAGGGTGTCATTAATGAGAAACTCACTAGGGTTGATGGGATATCTGAGATACCTTGGACTCTTGGGCTTGTTGATTTTCGATGGAATTTCAGAAGTGGAAGCTGTCCCGACCAAGAAGAGCTTGACGGTTCTCTCTTCTACTCAGGTGGCGGCTTTTACCATCCCAGCGTATTTCGCCTCGTGAGTTCTTCTTCTCCCGTCTTAATTAATTGTCACAACCGACAACCGACAGCCGAATGCCGGTCGGTCGATCTTAAAGGACAGATAGGGTGATTGAAGGGGTACGAATATTGATAATCAGAGCATCATATTGTTCACCGGATAGTATAACCTCTTGGTCTTGTGGCGGTGAGCTCATACTTCTTCAGTTGAGAAGGGCTCATGAACAGACGCATGCGAAAATCTAGCAAAACCTACCATACTTCTCACGGGGGGTGATGCGGAGGAAAATCCTCGATGTGAGTGTTTATCTCTTTGTATGAAGAAACCTCTACCAATGAAAACCACTCCCTCTTACCCCTTGGTTAGTGATACTTGCCGAGGGACTTCTCCCTACTGCTGTGAGGGGGACTTTATGAAGTGGCAATGGGAAAATGGCAAGAGCTGATATTTAGATTTCGTAGCTAGTACCTCTACTCAAACATTGGTAGCTATATCAGGAACAAATCCTGCCTCTCCGGAATCCATCGGTATCGACATTGATTTCCCTTTTATCGATGTTGATCCGAACATGTTTCCCGGAGGAGAGGGGTTACAAGTGCATCAAGGATTCTACGGGGCTTTTGAGAGGATGGTAGGGGCTATAGCTCCCGTTGTTCAAGCCGCCGGAGGAGGAAATGTGTTGGTTGTGGGACATTCTCTGGGTGAGTTTCTTCGTTGTTCTCCCTCTTTACTACTAGTCTAGGCGCGACTCGGAAAGTCGAAAATCAAAGTAAAATCAAAGTCACGTTGGTATTGATTGGAAGATATGATAAGACTGTCGCTAAAAGTCTAGGCGGAGCTTTGACCTTGTTGATGGCAACTCATCTACAACATCTTTTAGGAAGTAACGTGACTGTGGAAGCGATCGCTTTTGCCGCTCCTAGGGTTGGTAATCAAGCATGGGCCAATTATGTAGATTCCACAGTACGTCATCTGTCCCCTCTCCCCCTACCACTATCCTACGGTCCTATTGACCCCTTGACCCCTTGACCCTTTGACCCCTCATAAAAGCAATAAAACCTCGCGTGGGTGTGATTGAATCAGAGTGAGACCAGTAGAAAATGAAGGGGACTCTCGTTGATCACTAGCTGGGTACACGCGCACAACATCTGATCAACTTCAACGATGACGTCCCTCATGTACCTCCTCGTCCTTGGCATTTCAGACAATCTTCCGGTGAAATTTGGATTTCAGAAGATGGAAAAACGTACGTTTCATGTGATGGACAAGAGAATATACATTGTTCCGATTCACTAGAAACGCCTTTGGGGGAATTAGCTTTGGTGGCTAGTTTCTTGGATGGGTTGGACCTCCCTCGACATTTAGGACCGTATTCGGGTGTGACGTGAGTTTGATACTTCTTGAGTCGCTTGTATAAATTTTGTTGCTTCATGGTCCCTTCATCATCATTCCCCGCATCCTGTTCAATCGAGACTTCGATAATCCTTTCCGTGTCGTTCAACTCAACTGTCCTAGGTTAGAAGTCCGTCAAACCACACATTTTACAATCCTCATCATTCGTCCATCCAGGTAATACCATAGACAGGTTTCAATTAGAGCTGATCAGCTAATGAATAGGATCAGCTCTTTAACATGTTCATGATCAATCATCCAACCGTCATATCCTCACCTCTTCAAACCCATGTTCAATCGTCTTTACCCTCCTCCTTCTCCTCCTCAATGATCTTCTACGGATTCCTAATGGACTAATTAGTTGTCAATATTGTTTCGTTGTATCCGAGTCATCTGGGATGTCCTGCCTGTGACGTTTACCTAGGCCTAGTCTTCTACTTGAACATGCTCTTACGAACTTTTCATAGTGTGTCGATGAATCACGTGTCAAATGTATCATGACGTCATTACAGCAACCTCATGTTTCTCGCCACTTTTTGGGTTTTCTACTTTCTTAACTTACTCTTTAACCTTCTTCTTTCTCTCAAAACCTTCTTATCTCTCCTGAAACATCTCACAGGAATCTATTATCTCCCTGAAAGATCTCACAGGAATCCATATTGCAAATCAAAAGTAAGGATAAGAAATCAAACATGTCGAACATCTCACATGCCGCAGCTATTGACGAAGCTCAAGTTCAACCAATAGTAGCGGATCATCCTTATCCTAATGTTCCTGCGACTGGTGAACCTCAACAAGGTGAGTGGAACGAATCGTCCTCGTGCCCTCAATTTCATGCTCACTGTACATTCTCACCACTTCACAGGCACCATTCAGTACGGGACAGCTCGATTGACCTTCTTTTTACATTCGGAGATACGCAGATGGAGGGAGGAGATGAGGGGATAAGGATCCACAAGCAGTTGGGGGATGATAAAGAGAGGGAAGGATGATGGGAAAGAAATAACTAAGATATAGCTGCTACCGCTCCTGGAACAGGGACGAACATTTCGGATTCATCCGTTCCCGAAAAGATCCCTTTTAAAGAACAGGTAAAGTCATCTTCGTTCTTCATTCTTCATCCCTCATCCCTCATCCCTCATCCCTCATCCCTCATCCCTCATCCCTCATCCCTCATCCCTCATCCCTCATCCCTCATCCCTCATCCCTCATCCCTCATCCCTCATCCCTCATCCCTCATCCCTCATCCCTCATCCCTCATCCCTCATCCCTCATCCCTCATCCCTCATCCCTCATCCCTCATCCCTCATCCCCTCATCCCTCAAATCCTAAATCCTCCAGACTGAAACTCCTAAGTTGTCGTGATAGGAACCAATCAAGTGTGAATTTTCTCAGATACCGTCCTATCAGATATTCCCATTGAAAATTTTGATCTTTCTGTGTTATCTCACCCCAGCAGCCGAGGGAAGAAGTCTTTATCATTTCCTACCACTCCCACATACATGGACACACCTACCCATCATCGTCTATCATCCGCCCATCGGATCGTTCGTAGTTGAGGTGTGAAATTATATACTGACTCGTATAGGTCAATGGTTACGCTAAGAAATTCGCTGGGAAAACATTCCGGAATCCCGAAGAAAAAGAATTCGGTGAGAAGAAATTGAAAGGTGAGGCTTGAGTGATTTCATTAATGAAACGATGATACTCTGTAGTAAATCCTTTGTAAGTATGCAAACTTCATAGAGTTTCAGTATCAAATTCAAGATGGATATTTTTCATAGACAAAATCCATCAGAGTGTCCAGTTTTTCGAAGCAGGAGTGAAAGCACTCGTAGTATGAAAAGGAAGTTAGATTTGACAAAAGTCAAGTTATTGTCAGAGAATATATAACGTTTGTACATCTATCATCTCGTGATTCATTTCAAACTATAAGCAAATCTTTCTTATCTCATTGTCCTTTCTTCCATTTTGGATCGCAAGTGAAAATCATTGGAATTCCACAGTGAGGGATTATATCCTTCAACGACCCATCAAATCGTCTCCGGCTCAGCACTCAACATGGCCGATACAGTCCCTGGTGGTAATTCTTTCCCTGTACCCTCCCCTTCTTCTTTCGTGGGTGATCCACCAACACCCGACCTTGCATCCACCCTGTCTGTCTCCCCTTCAACAGTGGTCATCGTCTGCACCCTCGTCTCATTTCTCAATGCAGAAGGGAGATGAGGTGTTGTGACGGGATAAGAATAAGTCACACCACTGGCTGATGATGCAGTTGGAGAAGTAGGTTCATCCGAATCTTGTGATTTGGTTCGATCCATCATCAGAGCTGTTGCTTGTGGAGGTCGAGGTGGTAGACCGGGGTTTTTGGTAGATGCCATTGTGTTGAATGCGTGTGGATGTCCCGGAGGAGGTACTGTTGGGGCAGTAGAAGAAGAATGACTTTCGGCAGAGTAATGTGCCTGTTGCTTAGCATGATTGACGATGGTCCGGTAAGGTGGGGGGAACTTGCCATTTGAATACCTTTTCGGAAGAAACCACATTTCTCGTAGAACGCTAAGGGGTTAGCTGGGTCATTTAACTCAATTAAGACGATCAATCAGAACCGATGCGCTAACAGGATCACTCTTTTGGGGAAGGGAGGGATTTGATGGAAGAGGTTGAGAAGCAAGACTGACGAGTTTTCGCCTCTACACAATCCAAAACAACCTTATAACATCCCAACCCCGCGGCGAGATCTTTCAATCCATTCACCATCTTTATTCCTAATCCCTGACCTTGAGTCGAAGGTGAAACCACTATATCTTCTATATGACCCGCTACTCCACCTCCACGGACATGTTTACGCTCTGTCAAGAGAGTGCCAGAAGCCACCAGCTGATCGGTGGACCGTTCGATGAATACTACGATGTAGTAGGTGGAAGGACAAGATTTCATGTGATTGAACAGTGCCGCGTAAACCGATGGAGCGATAGGCGGGGAGGATGTGAGAGTAGCTAAGAGGTGGAAATGAGATCTCATGAGGTCGGTGGAAGCTAGAGGACGGATCTGTCAATTAGTCCTGTATCTTTGGATACTATTTGATCTAAGTTTTCAAGGTAGTTCGGCCCCGACTTTTTGGAAGCTACCTGACCTATTCGAAAAGGCTACCAAAGACCTTAAGTGGAAGGGTGAATCGTTTATTGTACATGAAGTCAAGGGAAGAAGGTAGTGTGATTAAGGATGGGACTGAACTTACATGGTACTCAGCACTCAACCCATCTCGCATGCTTTGCGGTATCAATCCCGGGTCAAACAACAAATCCAATTCCTCATCCGGTGTGAATACACTTCCCAATATTGAGTTCTCTGCAGCTACCGGAATCTCAGAAGCCATCGGTAGTCCTGCGATCCTCTCTGGACTGATAACAGGCGCAAGCTCTGTTCTCCGACGTTCAGGAGATGACTGAGAGCTGATGATCTGTACCTTCGTACGTGCACTACCTGGCCGTCCATCGTCTTCAAGAGCATGTCGTGTGCCTTGATCCGAGGTCGTCTGGGGGCCGGATGGCAGGACGGGATCGCCACCGAATAGCTAGCTACTCAGCTTATCCAACCCCACCTGTGTAACAACTCACCATGTCTGAGAACGTTATGAGGTCCTCTAGTACAGTATCCTTCGCTTGTGCCATAGCGAGAACGTCACCCTCGTTCAACAGCTGATCATGACCGAAGAGCACCGAGTCTGATATCAACATTTCAATACAATAAGAACGTGAAACACATACTGAACACGACTGCCAGATTCTAGATTATCAGCGTCTACTCGTTCCTTTCGACATGACGAAGCTGACCTTTGAATCCATTCGGTTAACTGCTGCCTGAGATTGAATCCTGGAGAGGTGTTCAATAATAGCTTGGAATGTGGTCTGGTGAATGGGTGTCAGACGTCGAAGTTTAGCTCTGAGAGCTGCAAAGTTGGTGCTTATGAGAATGTCTGTCAAACTTTTCAGCTCATCACTCAGGCGCTCTAATGATATGCTGACCTCTCTCGATAGAGTATTTGACACGCTCCGCCTGCGGAAGAGGGAATACGGGGTCTGGCAGATCTCGCAGGTCTTCGAGGTCAGCAAGCGTTCATACCGGCTACCATGGTCTCACATTGTTTGAGCACACCGGCAATGGTATGGACATCCTCGTTCTCAGGGGCAATCTGGAATTTCTCTTCGTCCATTTCAATCTCTTGGATCATCTATGATCAGCTGGGCCTTTCGACTTTCATTATAAAAACGGCTGGACTAACCTTTTGTATGGCAGGATGACGGCCGCTGACACGATAGATTCCTTCGACACCAAGTCCTGAGCATGAGCAGTTGACCGTGTAGATGAGAATTTGCTCGCCTTTCTCGTCAATCGCCGCAATGCATTTTTCGACGATGGCTGGGGGTCGACCGCGATCGCTACCTTCACCACGACCGAAATCGTAGTCTGTCAAGCTGACACCGAATATAAGAGATTTGCATGGACCGACCTGAGTGCTCAGCATGACAGGACTATGGATAATGAAAGACCGATGAGAGGCTTTACATGACAAGCTGCTTCCATGCGTGATGTTTATGGAGACAACTTACGTAGTAGTTTTCATACATCACCGGAGCAGTATGCAAAGTGCTGACCGTCCGTAATCTGGTTCTGAAGAGCGTCACTGACATGTCAGTCAAAGTCACCCAGGAAGCAGAAGAGAAACTCACTATCTAAATCAAGATTGATTTGTCTCACGGCTTCTCTTGCCACTTCGGTAGACTGGGCGTTGGTAGCAGCGGTGCCGTGCATCGTATCAACATAGCTCTCCATGGCAAATTTGAGCTTGACGTTCATCTCGTCGTTGAAAGTCTCCAAGCTCTGACCGGTCAGTGAGAGGTCGATACCAATGCAACTCACAGTTACTGCGGACGCTTGGAGCTTGTCTCTTCTGATCCTGAGTGACTCGAGATGGAAAATACCCAGTCTGTAGGCTTTATCTGACTATTTCAGCTGAGAAGTCATGGATGTAAGATCACCGACCTGCCTCCTCTGCGTCGCGTTTGAGCTTGGCTCCTCTCATTGCGCCGCTGAGCTTGCCTGAGCCATCCCTCCCTGTGCCCCTTCTTTGTAAACCCTCATCACCGACCAAAACGAAACCGGCCTCTTCTCGATCCTTATCCTTGTCCCCTCCCAAACGTTGGATGATAGCATTGAATCCCTTCTTGCTCTGTGTGGCCAGGTCATTCAATACATCCTTGGTCTTTCCATCACCTCCTGAGGCCGATCCGGCCCGTAATCGACCTCCGCTCTTTTCTTTCGTCGTAGGGGAGAAAGTGACGTTCGGTTTCTCGTGACTGGGTGACTCGAGAGCAGGGTTTGACATAGGTGGTAGAGGAGGATTGGTTACGGGAGGTGAAAATCCCGCTTGGGAGCCATGATAAAAGGCAGAGTATGGCGGTTCCGGTTGAGGTGTTGGAGGAGTCGCATTGACAGGTGGAGAATTTGTCGCGAGAAGTTTAGCTTGCATGGCTATGGCGTGTTCTTGTCGTTTGTGATCCTCCAAAGCCTGACATTTTTGAAAGTAGGACCGTTTAAGCTTGGGAAGATGATTTCGCGCATGTTCTTCGTACATGTCGGTAGCGGCTCGCATGGTATCCTTAAGGTTGAGACGAATACGTGTTTGTTCTTCCTGCCTGTCAGCATTGGACCTCAGTGAACATGTGATTTTCGCCGCCCAGAAAGGGCCTCCTTCACAACCTATTCGATTCAGTTCCACCAGCGGACAATGAATGTTGATGAAAGGAAGTCTCGACGGACTCAAATTGGGACTACTAGATAGAATGACAAGCCAAGAGGGTAGTGAGAAATGTCGAAACTCGCCTTTAGTCTGACAAGTGCCTTGACCACATCCTCCTTGAGAGCAACCGTCATGGCTTCTCTACTTTGGATCTCCCGAAGTGTATAATCTCTCACTTCTGTCCACGCCTTACGAGCTGTCCTTCGGGTACCTTTCCGGGGCGTGCTATATGTCAACTACGCTCAGCGACATGCGCAGACCACCAAAGATCACATCGGGCGCTGTCGAAGAAGGACCATATTAGGCGCTGTTGGAGAATCGTATAACTCACTCATCCTGTAAAGAATCAACAGCCACAGTTCTATCATACAATCTTGTCAAGCTCTCAATGTATTGTTCTTCCACTCTGATCCTACACGTCAGCTTTAAATAATCCAAGTCTGTGAAAAAACAGACCTGTCCGCAAAGAAACTGATGTAATTTTCGTCTTCTTGGATTTTGTTCTGCACATTAGCTATGCAACTCCTCTCATATGAATCGACACAGGGTAAGAAGCCATCTCTCCCAATTCGACATTCTCGCCCTGAGTGTTGCGCCCTTCGATAACGTCGGAAACTCGTCTTCACTTGTTTGAACCTCCAGCACAATTTACAGAGACATGAAGAATGTGTTCTTTCAGTTGGCAATTCAACACGTCGGGAAAGCTGAACCAAGATAGATATAGGTGGCGACAGACATCTGTAAATCCCGTCCAGGGGGACCAAGCTCGCAGATTGAAATTTTTCGTATACTCGAATTATATGGAAAGACACATCGGAATAAATCCAGGTATTAGAATGGGACACAGACGAAGGAGAAACGGTTGAGGTAATCAAACTCACCTTGAACTCTCTCAAGACATCTCCTCCTTCTGAACTCCTCCTCCCAACCTCACGTCCTAAAGAAGTACTTGACCCAGTTCCTTCCAGAGAAGGATAAGCATAAGCCATCTTCACCTTTTCTTCACCTTTTCGGTCACTACTTTTGATGACTTTATCACTTGAGCGGGTCTTGATCTGTCTACTTACACTGTTTACAGGATGTTTGACAAGTCTCTTGCGTGGAGGTGATTGAACCGTCCTGCTTGATGTCCTGGTTTGACGTGCTGGAATGTGTCTGTTGTTCTGTCAAGGCTTGGGTAGAGGAGTGATCGTTTCGATAGATTGAAGTTGACGTGACGTATGAGAGCTAATGCGCTGGAAGTCAGATCTGGAAGAGTGAGATCAGTGGGAAGGATGGCAAGAGTGGATGAAGAGATGCGATAAGAAGCAGGAGATGAGATGATGAAATAGATGGGCGGCGCAAGTGGAAGGACCCCTTTCTTCACTCGCTTCTCGATGTTTTTGCCTCGGGTCGGTTTGAACTACTAGCTCAGATCAAGGTTTGTCGCTGAGAACCAGAGCCAGTGGCCAGTGGGAAGAGATTTCAAAGCCCCGAGTTCGGAGACTGAGATGCAGAAAGAAGAAAGAGACCACAAAGACAGCTATGAGTACGGTTGTACGTTGCTGTCGTCATTCGCCCGCCTCGCAGTCATTCCACACAGCTTTACCCTCCATAAGTACTCCACCTCACACACCCCTCGCACTATCAACACTATGCCTCATGTATCTTCTTTAGCCTCATTCATGTTCAAGCACACAAACAGCACTAGCAGCTAGTAGCTAGATGCCAGTGCTACATACATGACCCGCCGAATGCATACAACAGCTTATGAAGATAATGCATCATCACAGAGCGCAGCTCGAGCAGCTGCGCCCCTTCCCAAT